AAAGAGCAGACGACAGTTCGAACGATCAGGCAACCGTTTGAACTTGAAGACGCACTGAACGTAGTTCGCAGGTGGTCCGCACAACTTGACAGTTTTCTGGCGTTCATGTTGGAACAAAACAAATAAATCTGATGACCACAAGTATCCATGAACTCAACCCAAAGTGCTTCCCGCCCAAGCAATTGTCCGACGGCGTCTGTTTTTCCCTTTTCACGGCACAACGTCACGGGTATATATGAGAGACTGGGGGCAGACCGTGAAGTTCTTGGATCCCTCTCCTCGATAGTTCGCTTCATGCGCTGTTCGGGTAACGGGCGGCGAAGCCTGTTTTACACGTTGTGTTTATTTTGTGAAGTGATATTTCTGGTAGGACATTTTACTAAAGCTTTGAACCGCATGTGGCACGCGTAGTCGTGCCAAAAGACACTTTTGAAGCTGGGGCGTCGAAGTGGTGGGATGGTGGTGTGCTGTTGTTCTCTATCCCGTACAAAGACGCACCGTCTACCACGACGAATAGGGTGTCTTTTTTCATTATGATTCGGACAAAATGAAACTAAGAAAGGAAGATATCATTAAATTGAAAAAAGGAAAGCGAAATGCGAGAACCCCTCCCGTGTGTAGTCAACACTTCAGTGAAAGCAACTCCGTGTATCCTCTTGGTTCCAATGTGTCCGGTGAGTGTTGGTCTCTTATTAGCTCCGAGTTGATTCCTTTTCTTTAAATTTTGTAAACCAGTAAACGAACATTTCCTCAAAATAACTGGCAGGAAGAGGTGGAGGCTGGCTTCCGGAGTCGTTTGGACTAAATTCCTGCTTATTCACCCGGCCGACCCGAAACGCGCGAGACCCCCTCGCCATGGAAGTAATCTAGTAAGTCGGGGACACTTCAGCGTCCTAAAAAATGAGGATTATACCTGCTATAAATTACTACCGTTTGTATGTTTCGTTTTTGCGAACCGAAATGCGCATAATGCGTGATGCGCTCCTCAGCGAGCGATTTTAAATTTGTAAACAATTCTTGGTAAAAATTGGATAAAACAAATTAATAAATAGCCCGAATTTGCCGGGTCATGGCCGACAATTTAAGAATTTACGAAAATTTCTTCTTTTCTTTCGAGCAGAAGTCGTGATGTGACAAACTTCTTTGCCGCGTTTTCGATTCGGCAGGAACTAAGCATCAGTGGCTGACGAGCATTTGCTCGGTAACAACAGTCGAGTCACACCTGGATAAAAGCGTCGGTATCGGCAAGCTCAATGCAGCAAAAACAAGTGTGCGGCGCTTTCCAACACAACTGCAGTGTGCGCACGTGCACGGCTAAGAAGACACTACGTCAGTTACTCTGGTGAATGCAAAACCTTTTCCTAGAGCAACCTCCACAGATCTGAAATAATAAGAAAAAAAAACAAGAGTCAGAGAGGCTCTGAATAGCCCTGACCCACGCCGCGCAAGCTGTGATGTAATGCTCCAGGCTTGTTTTTGAACATTTTAAAGTTTTTCTAATAAAAAAGCAACTTCGAGGCGCTGTTATTTGTTAGAATGATTACTCACAAAAACGTTATACGCGTTTCTTTAACAAATAAACCGTTTTAATCTGCACAGTGGCGAACCAACATAGCCACTCCGTGCTTTGACAGCGCGTCGTCTGCTCGCATCCTACCAGCTGCGTCGTAGGAGGGCGCCCGCGTGGTGGCGAAAAGACCACCTGTAGCGCGGACGGCACGAACGTGACGGGCTGTTCACGTTTCTCCGTCTTGCATTTGGAAGCCCACATGAGCAGCTCGCATTGGAGTTCAGGAACTGAAACCAGGCCTAAATAGATCTCCAAAACCTCTTCAGCGCCAGGAGCTGCCCCGCTTTCCAAGATCTTTGCAGGCAGAAGCGACAAAGGTGATTGCAACGTACGTTGTTTTTCTTCTTTTTTTTTTTAAATTTCCCATTTAACTGTGTGATCAGGTAATTCATGAAAGGAAGAAACTGCTCTTTCGTGCTTCTAGCGGTGACGTTGCTGACTTCTTACTCGCTGCATCTGAATTTGAACTTCCGCTGTCGGCCATTTTAATGGCGGCTTGGTATATGGCCTAGTGTTTGTGAGTGGACGTTTGCTCTAATTTTTCAACGTTGCTTTTTTTTTTTTTTTTTTGCTATTTAATGTTTTGTGACAGTATAGCTACCTTTTGTTTTGTCTAGCCGGTACGCGTTGGTAACGCAGTGCTACCTCAAAAAGCGGAGGGAGTTCTGTGCTGTGAGGAAGCTTTTAAAGTTGATGGGCCCCACTACGACGACAGTAGAACAGGGAGCCCAAATGAAGCCTGCAACGTTTTAAAGAAAAACAGAATGCAGCTTCACCCGTTTTATCCTAACAGCGCCTCCCTAATCTTTGCGTGAGCATCCGTAAGCGCGAGTTCACCCTGCTTCGTCATTTGGGGGGGGGGGGGGGGGGGGAGGGGGGGGGGTTAAAGGGTTTTTGAACCCCTCCCGAAATAAAATCCTGGCTACGCCACTCGCTGTAGCCGCGAAACCGCGTGGTTGCTGGTTCAAAAAAAAAAAAAAAAGTAAAGGACGTTCCGCTTCTGTCCTGTGTTATTTGGAGGTCGGCTTCGATCAGGCGCTGTCCACGGGGCAGTGTTACCAGGGGAAATGAAAACGTGCTGCGTCTTCGGATATTGTGGGCGCATTCACGACGGTGTGTCGCATTTTAAATTTCTGGGAGGATTGACAGATTGAGAGCTCTTTCTTGATTCGGTCGATGGTGGTACATGTCCGTTCTAAGTTGGTGGTGATTTGTCTGGTTAATTCCGATAACGAACAGGACTCTAGCTTATTAAATAGGTGCGTGGTTCTCTGCACCCTACACCCTTCTTAGAGGGACAAGCGGCTCCTAGCCGCACGAAACAGAGCAATAACAGGTCTGCCATTTTAGCTGCCGTCTGACAGGGGCATTGGTCCGGGGCCGCACGCGCGCTACACTGAGGGAAGCAGCGCGTTTTTATTCCTGTCTGTTAAGACAGTAAGCTTAGAAAAAAGTGGCTCGAGCAAATACAGAGGGCTAAATCAAGTCCGTCGGATTACCCTGAGCAAGTGTTCATCCGTTTAAATAACAGGGCATAGAAAAATAAGTTTCCAGTAAATTTTCGCCAAAAATAAAAACAGTAATTACTCTTTGGTGTCAACGAGTCCACGACATAACTTCCACGATACGCTCGACGCCGATCAGGTAGTTCGATCGATCTTGCTCGGATTCTCGTTCACGGATTAGCACAGCTTTTCAGACTTTTACCACTCAGGTTTATGCCAAACATACATACCCGAATACGCTAATTGACAATAGCCTTTTAGTCGCGCGAGGAAAATGTGACAACTAGCAACGATTGCGCACTTTTGGTCTATGATGTGCTCACAGTAGCGATCGCACAAGCTGCATTTGTTTATTTCCAGTCACTACATCGGCTGTCATCTGTCTTTAGCTGATTATCTTTGAGCAACTCACCAAACTCGAGGTACCATTCTTCGCTCGCTCGCTCGCTCTTTGATACGCGTCTGCTAGTTGTTAGACAAAAACACATCGTACCGCGCGAGTTACTTCGTCCGCCGTCTCTGAAAGACGAAGTCGAGCTTGCTCGTAACGGTGAGACAGCTGTTGATTAGCAGACGACGTTACAGAGGAGCAGACGACGCTCAGATAGTGGCGAGCCAATCAGAGCTCGGCGTTTTAACGTCACCGCAACCCCTGCGCAAGAAGCAGACGAACTTGCCCACCGCATAGTCTCGCGTCCGACTTGTTACGATCACGCGACACTCCTGTGGACATGTCGCATTTGTTCGAATTGTTCTGTTTGGGCAGACACACAAACGCTGTTATGTTTGACGACGTGGGCGAGTGATAAAATCAAAAGAATCGTACCAGTGGTTTCTGTTCCACATCTTGCTTCGATTGTGTCACGATCTGACGCTTATTCGCACGCCGAAAAAAAAAACAGAAAAAAAAAAAAAAAAATCTGGCTTTCGAACTTCGAAATTGACGTGGAACCGAACCCCAGATTCGATTTCAGGTGAAAAGTTACCTCCATTTCTGCAGTCCTCCGCTGACACAAACTCCCAAAATTTACGTTTCTTTTTTTTTTTTTTTTTTGTGAGATTTTGTTTAGTTTGTTTGTGGGATTTTGTTAGAGTTTGTTCAGGGCTTTCCCATAAGCCGTCTGTTCACAAGCTCGCATGCACACGAAAATTAACGTGAGGAAGCGATTCTGCTCTTAAACAAACAAACAAAAACTTATTTTTATGCATTAAATGTTTTATGCAGTAACAAGTTGATCTGTGTTATAAACCCCTGTGTTAACCCTAGAATATATATATACAGTATATATTTGGCCGAATTTTAATTAGGTTTTCAATTAATCTTCATTTGCATAAAAACTGAAGTGCTATTCAAGTATCCTCGCTATCCGGAATAGCCGAATGTGTGCATCTTTGATTTCAAAATTAAGCGATCCATAGCGTTGAACGTGAAATCGTTGCGCGCGTGTGACAAAGACTGTTCGCGCACGGCGGCCGCGGTTCACTACGTCTTTTATTTCGCGAAGATCTGCCACAGCGAAGTTTCCCAGTCAATTGAAAAGCATTACAGCACTTCAAAAAGCGACTGGACGCGGGAAACATAACAAAAGACTGATTTAATTGCGGAACACGCGAAACATAGCGGTGATGTTGCCTCTGAGAAGCATACAAACAAAACCCGAACTGGAAGTGTTCTCGGCTCCACGTCATGGCGGCCGAAAGTGGCCCGAAAACCATGTATAACTGTGCGTCATTTTCAGTTTATAGTTAACATAGACAGGATCACATATTACAACAGTCAAATTTGTTGGTTATTTAGTAATAGTTCTATGTTTAGTTCAACCAAACTGCATGAACTGTCTTTTTTTAACAATCTGGCTACCAGCGCCATCTTTTGAAACCGAGAATGACTGCCTCTCGATCAAGTCTTTTGCGCCGCCTCAGTCCTCGACCGTCTGCAAGATAACTTTTCTCTGGTGCTAGCTTTGCCCTTACGAATGAATCATGGCTTTTGTTGCTACGGCGAGGCATAACGTGAAGGTAAGGGGCACAGCTATTCTGGTACAAGCTGCTTCCAAATAACCACCTGCAACGGTCACCGTATCCGCCAAATCGTAGGACCTCCGGCTCCACCACGGACGGGCACAGGACCGGTGCGTCTGCTGCTTAGATCGTCCTGTAACTTTGTCTTTTAAACTCAACGCGGACTGTTAATGAGATCGAACAATGCATAACCGCGCAGGAAATCGAACACACAAACCACAACGTCATATACGTCAGCGGCAGGCGCATTCCGTGCTTGACTCTCCCCATGGCATATTTACCGCAATCCTCGTGACGAACTAACGGCACGTCCTTCTTGTTCTCTGTGTGTGCTATTCGAGAACGAGGAAACCGGTTCGTGACCGTAACCTCTAGCGCACTTCTAATTTATTGTTTCGGCCGTCTATATTTTCTTATGTATATATGTACCTAAAACTTTTGGGTGCTTCCTCGTTCGTTGCCTTTTGCTCCGCGGTCTCCGCTTCCCGTGGCAGCGTTTTGTGCTCCGCTATCCCCGTCAGTTAGCTCCTGCAGAGGCTCCAGCCTACTTGATCAGGTATGTAAGTTTTTCCAGACCTTGAACTTTTTTTTTTTTGGCGAGATCTTTGGTTCGTCGAGGGTCAACTACCGGAGCAAAAGCGTCAAATTTCCCTTTTATCTTTTCTCTGGCTTTTTATTTTTTCTTGTTACCAGGCCAATGGTCGGATGTTCGCGGGATAGCAAACACCGAACTTATTTCCCGTTTAGCTTGCTGCACAACTGACGGTGTTGGGACGCTGTTGCATGCGATGTTTTGCTTGACCCACATCTTCCCGTTCGTTGACCTCAACAACCAAGAACAAACGGCGGTGACTCGCATGTTTGTCGGTCGTCGCTGAAGTAAAGTTTGCGGCAAGGGCGATCTCAAATATGTCGCGATACATCCTCGCGCTGCAGAGTCATTCTCTTGTGTGACGAGCTCGTACTCGTAATCGCCGACATCTATTTACGACCGATTAACTGAATCGCGATAGGCAGTGGAGGCCACCAGAGCGAGGACAATCCGTCCGAACATATTACCTAATTTGTGGTTTCTCGAAAGTTAAACTCCAGGTCACATTGCTCGCGTAATATATATTTTTTATTCTCGTTCATTTACTGAATGATTGAGTGAAGGAAGTATTGCATTGAGAACTTTAATTAACTAGTGTTTAACGTAACAAAAAACAACAAAATAAAACAGGGAGGGCATTGTAATTTATGGCCGGCAGAAATCTCAGAATGACCTGGGCATCATACATGACCTTTTTTTTTTTTTATTCAGACATACTGTTGGCTCACGTTTGAGAGCCATAGCAGGTGCGGGTGGTACATAAGATCAATACACAGGCAAACAAAAAGTACTTTTAAGTAGGTTATACAGGACTTGGTAAAAGACATAAAATATGCTTTGCGACAAAATTCAAAAGGTGACATTCCAAGACAAGCATTTAAAATGTTTCTTGATACGATTACGGTTGCATCAAAGCACATGGGAGTATTTCGTAAACAGTTTAAATTAAGGCTGGGTGTCGATTAAAAGTTTTAACCTGATTAATCGCCACCCTTTAATCGGTCTTGTTTATTTCTGTGCAAAATATCACAAAAGTCTTTTTTTTCTTTGCTGGATATGTGACAAACGGTGCAATATACAGCTTTGATTATGAATTAATCTCTCTGTGTAGTTAAGAACAGTATCATAGACCTTTCACAGAATATTACTTTTGCTGCATGAGGCAAAGATGTTGATATTCTCCGGAAAGAGTGACTTCCTTTCATTGTTCACAATAGTCTCTGCTGTGCTAAACAGACACTCGAACGATGTTGAAGTGGCCGGGCACATGTGTAACCTTCTGCACTTATCTGGAGTAACAAATATGTCGCCCCTACAGTTTACGTTATTCTAAAATTTGACCTAAACTTTGCCCTTTTACAGGTGTACTCAACCACGTCTGCGTGGTGGTTCGTCAAAATTTTACCGATTCACCGGTTAAAAAATTTAATTGCGATTAAAGCATTCATGGATTAATTGGTAGGCTAATTGATCAATTGCCCAGCCCTAATTTAAATACTTATCAATGCTGTCACAGTCTGTGATGTCTGGTGGAAGCTTGTTCCAATTCTCAATGGAGGTTGGGAAGAATGATTGGTTGAAACACTCTGTACAACTCAAGAAGGGCATCAATGACCTACTGTGGGTGCCTTTAACTATGCGAGACAATCTCAGTTGCAAGTATTTATATATGTCAATATTAAAAGCTTTTAGTAACGAAAACATGAAAACTATTCAAGTGTGGTGGCACCTTTCCTTTAGTGTGTTCAACTTGGCTTGTCCGTAGAGAGGACAAAAAATCAAGGGTGACATATTTATTATATATGAAGCGTAGTGCTTTTCGTTGAACCATTTCCAGTTTGTTCATATTTGCTTGAGTAGGAGGGTCCCAAACAGTGATGCATACTCAAGTACTGGACAAATCAAGGTTTTGTATGCAATCAAATTGGTTGAGCTGGTACAATTCTTTAGAAGTTTAGATGATGTTTTAGGAACCAGTGGTTACCTTGGGCTTTGCATACAATTGTATCCTCATAAATGTTCCACCGTAGGTCTGCTAAAAGAGTTACGCCAGGGTATTTAAAGTTAGACACACTTGGGAGAGAGGGATTGTTTATGGTCTATGACTCTAGGAAAAAGTAAACGGACACTTTTTTTCAAGCAAACGTGTCGTACTGACACATTCGCTTAGGTTTAGTGGTATTTGCCAGGCAGAACACCAGCTCAAGAAAACCTGCAAGAATTTATTGAGGTCAAGTTGGTCTAACGGTTGTTTTATTTCGGAAAACAAGATGCAATCGTCCGGGAACATTCTTACCTCCGCATTTAGATGACTACCTACCCAGGTCGTTCCTAAAAATAGGAAATAGAAGGAGCCCCAGGAGTATGACAGATCCTTGGGTAACACCAGAGGCAACTGGTACGCTATCGGAGGCAACTTCTCCTACAATTACACTTTGACTTCGATTTATAAGACATCATTCGAACCACTTGGTTAGGTTAATGTTTATTAAAATGATTCTGTTTTTTTGTTTTCTTTTTTGCAGAAATGTGAGGTGCGTTTGTTTAGTGATTTCCTTACACACACCCCTAGGGGGTGTACACCCCCCTCCCTAGTTTTTCTAAAGGCACCCCCTTAATTCGCAACAACTCCACCTTTCTAAATGCACCCCCCTCCCATAAAAATTTAGACCCCCCCCCCCCCCCCCCCCCCCCCTAATTTTAATTCCTGGGGAGACCCCTGGGTGCGTCACACGGTTGAAAGCTTTAGAATAGTTCATAAACACTGCATCGACTTTCCCTTGCCTATCTGGAACTTCCGCCATGTCATGCAATGTTTTTATCAGCTGAGTCACTGTTAAAAGTCGACATCGAAAGCTATCTGGGCGGGCGTCAAACAGTTAGATCGTTCAAGGAAGGTGGCCACGTATTTGAATACGATGTGCTCCTGGGGGGGGGGGGGGGGGGAGGGGGAGGGAGGGAGGGAGGGGGGGGGGAATAGGCTTAAAGCTGGCCGCGAAGAGCGAGTCATCGGCAGGGAATACAAGCAGAAACATGGAGCACCACTCAGCATAGCGTAATCAATACGCATTCGGAGTGCCGTCTTGGCCGCACGTCTTTTTAGTGTCTAATGTGAGTAAACGTGAAAATATCACAGCCTCCGAGACAATACATCTGCTGGGATGCTGTTATCGTGAGTGAGAGCTGTGCTGAAATAATTATTTAAACAGGAAGCAACTTCTGCTGGGTTGACGACCAGGTTGTCGTCTACACACAGTTTGGTCAAACTGTGCTGGCGCGGAGTAAGGTGCCTCCAAAATTTTGGGGGATCCGATTTTATGAACTTACAGAGTTTGGTCGAAGTATTTATACTTGGCTTGTTTTAAAGGTTTCCAGTTGCGATCGTAACTAGCGTAGCCTGTCCGCATTACGGTTTCATTTGTTGCGGCTTCGATTTATTCTTCTCTTCGTGGGGTTATTTTCGTGTACTTGCGTGCTCTGCAGGGCACAAAACGAGCCAAGCAATCGTTAGTTTTTTTGTTTGTTTTTTTTCTTTTAGAGAAAGGATAAGACGATGTCGGAAAAGGATAAAAGGAAGTATGTATGGATTAATGGCACACCTATGTGTGTCATTGTAAGATGTCACCGCAATGTATGCACTCACAATGCGAAATTATATTCCTTTGGAAGCGTTGACTTGGGGTAGTTCGAAAGAGTCAAGTACCAAGTCGGCCAACTATTTTTTTCCTGCAATTTTTAGGATTCCTCTGGCCGAGTATTGCTCTTTCGGGCGAAATCTTTCATAGCCGAGAAATGCAAGGATCTGGCAAACGTTTCCGCACCATCAAGATTAATTTGCCGGCCTTAGCAGCCAATCTATGCGAGCTCGTTTTGAGCATGCGCTCTAAACATCGCCCTCAAATATTCCCTCCAGTAAATAGCGGATATTCCCTGGACGGAATATTCGAGGGCGACGTTTAAATCGCATGCTCAGAACGAGCTCGCATTAATAGCCTGCTAAGACCGGCAATCTTGATGGTGCGGAATACGGGTTGCAAAAAAACTGCGGAAAAACTGCGGAAGATCGCCGTCAGCACGCGCTCAGCAGCCGCGCCCACAGCTATGGCCGCCAGTAAATACTCCCTAGATATACATGCCTTGCACCTACGTCACCTTATGACGTGGAACACCGGTATCTACCATGCTGGTGGTTGACTCGACGGCCCTTCGCAGCGAGAGCAATGGTAAACTGCGCCGCGCTCGGCTGTAGCAATCACCCCGTATCCCGATGCTCACCCGATCATTTCGTCGGCATGCCCCGTGAGACAGGGTAGCCGTCAAGTTAGAGAAACTACGAGCGGCAGGAAAAAGATGCGGCCGCGGATTATCGAGTTTGCGGGACGCATTTCATAGCGGCGAACGGCGGCACTTTTCTACCGTTGTTTACGTTCGCTCACGCCTTTGCATCGGCTTTTGCTCGTTCGTGGTGTATATAGCCTTTGACCTTCGTTTCATAACGCCGTTTTCACGCTTCGAGCGCACCTTCAGGCCTCCCGGCCGAATCCGGGCGAGTGTCGCGCCGCGAGCCCGGCCCGACGGCGATCGGCGGCCCCCATGTGCAAGCTCGCCGAGCCGCCGGGTCATCGGTTTGTGCCTTTCGCGACACGATAACCTTTGCAACGAGCGAAAGTATGCAGGCGAGCCGGTTAGGATTTATCCCTGTCTCAGGGTTAAGATTATGACGGTAACATTGCGTTGTTTACCAGTATTTCGCAAAATCGTAACAATTTGTCTAGAAGCGACTCCTAGAGCCGCTCGTCAAATTATGAAGCGCGCAATTAAGCTTTTTTCTTTTTTTGGCGACACGGCATATCCCTTTGCGTCAAAACTTCGCCGGCGGCATTTCGAAACTTTCTGCTCGTAGCGCAGTCGCACCAATGCCAAACAATTCGAGCGCGGGGGGAATATTCGGCGCTGGCGGCGGCCTTTGCTCCGCCTGTTGGCCAAACTCTCCCAATACACGGCTCTGTCTAAGCCATGCGCTCGTTTGGGCTTTTCAGAGCCGACGTACTGGATAAACGTCATCATCGTAAGCTCAGCACGTTTTTCTAAGTTCACGGTACCTGTGTGGAAAATATGGTGCATGTTAACGCATGTCCGGGCCGTTAGCAGCATCCTGCGCCTTGGTAAGCGCATCCGCGCGATGTGAAGTCAACCACCAGTATGGTGCGGGGCCCCGTCCTTCCCTAGATGTTCCCTAGGGTGACGTCACTTGCAAGGCATGTATAAATTCAAGGCTGGGGACATGTGCAAAAATTGCACAACATTCGGAGGAAAAAAAAATAGTTGCGCTCTTTTTTTTTTTTTTTTTATTCAACCACGTGTGTGTATTAATTGTATAGAAATACCAAATATCATTGCAGTGATATATGTGCAAGTTACGTGCGGTAAATACCCCCGTACGCCGGAAATAGCGTGGAACGATCTTCGCGTGCTCAAAATTTCGTGCTTCTTTTCCGAAAATCGCACATTTTAACTGCAAAAAAAGTTTTTAATATTTTCATTTTTTTTTTTTTACGAATTATTTGGGCATTCCTGTGATATGAGCGCTTTCCTACGTTTCTTGAAAGAAGTTCGGGGCAATTTTCGCAAGTTCCGAATTTCCTTAGATTTTCAGTTGGTTTTTCGTACTTTGTTGGCCAGACTAGTCAGACCATGGCCAGACGAAGAAAAGGATTACGCTCACAAAGAGGTGGCGCAAGCTACCGCCCTATACGAAAGCCGATATCGTCCGTCACGTTAAATCTATTCATCCAGCCTCGTACCCAAATTCAGCTCACTTTATACTATTAGAGGATTGTGGCGAAACGTGAGGAACAGGCGGATATTAAATTTCATAAAATTGACTTAAATATAATTTTAACAAAAACTAAAAATTATTATTTGCCTTGGTGGCGCAAGCTACCGCCCAATCCAATGTGTATAACCGGCATGCATGCATCCATGCATTCATTCATCCTGCAAGTCTGGGCCGCAGACGATCCAATCCAGCCTGAACACCATAACGTTGTCATGTCGTGTTTCTACCACGTTTCTACGCAAGGACACAAGCTTACCTTCGTTTCCGCGTGTTGCACTGTAACTCCTTGAAACAAGATGTTGATGCAGTTTGCGCAGTTAGGCACTCCCTTCTTTCGATGGTGTTTTAATAAGAAGCGTCTGCAAGGAGGTTGACGGGCTCCGTTAACCTCAGTGATGTTTCACTGCTGTGGCCTCCACGTGGTAGCATGTGGTTTGAAGTTATTTCGTAAGTATCAGTCTGATTGTCTGGGTATTCGCTGCCGCCGAATGGGACGGCTTAGTTTGGTGTTTAGTAGTGCAACATATGGCGTTAGCTACGCTTTGACGTTTCCCTTAGCGTAAATCAAATTGCGTGCACTTGCGGGTGTTAACTCTTTGTTATTTGCAGCTTGCGACGTTGATATCACGGAAAATGTATAGCAACGGCAACGGCACTGCTGGTGCACTGAATGTAAGTTATAAATATATTTGCAAAGTTGAATGCGTCGTGCCTTGAATGGTGCTGCAATACTACCCACTGCAACTTCGGGCCCCTTAGAGAGCTGTGACCTTTCGTTCAGTGCGTAAGCGCGTCCAAGGTCAGAGTGTTGAGTACACCGGATTTGGCGCATCCAACCTGGTGATAATTAATCTCTGGCAAATTAACCGGTTCAGGTACCACAGGGTCTGTACAGCATTGTTTGACGTGACCCTACTAAGACTGAACATTAAACAACTTAATGAAGATTTTTTTTTTTTTTTTATTTAGCTTTTGCATTTTAGTTGAACGGCAAAGTTTTTTCCACAATGCTTTTGGTGAATGACTAAAAAACCCTAATAAATCTCCATAATTTTCTTTGGTTTTTTGTGGAGTGTTTGTATTTCACCAATTTATCGTTTTGTTTTTGTTTTGGCTGTAACTTGTTGTTTTTCAGCATCCATGAGTCTGATAGTGCGAACAGAACTTTCTTAGCATGTGCCCGGCAGCACATACCAAAATTTTTTCAAGTGTGGAGAAGATAGAATGAGTGGGAGAACCCTATTCGAAGGCTAACCAGATGATCAGGCTTTCTGTTTTATGTATTCAAGATGCAAATAGGTGAACTGATTGTATACACAACGTTATGCCTCATGCGTGATTGCTGTTGAGCCGTGTTGGCTGAACATTCCTCCATCCAGTGTCTGATACTCAATTTGGGACTTCCTTGGACGAAGCAATAGGTGCCGTTAAAAAAAAGAGAGAAAAAAAAGCTTCTTTGAAGGAAACTCGTCTTCAACGAGCTAAAAAAATAATCCTATATTTTAATGTGTGCTGTACGCAGTATCTCACTAAAATGAGAAGGGCTGCCTCAATCTCTCCAAATTTGTTGCCCCAATTCGCCAAGAGTATCGTCCATCTCTACTTTTTATGCTCTATTTCGTGCTCTTCCAGGAGGTTGTAATTGCCTCGTTTGCAAGGACACCTATTGGGTCGTTCAGGAGTTCTTTGGCTGCTGTTCCTGCCACGCGGCTGGGTTCTGTTGCTATCAAGGGAGCCATCGAAAGGGCAGGTAAGATATTGCTCCTTGTGTTTGGGCACAAGTCGGTGGGCAGCAGTATGGGGACAAATAAGGATGCTGGAAATGATGTATACTTCGGGCGGCGAAACACAATGTGTGCGTGCCTATGCTAGATAGTATCTGATCTGGCATCCTTACCAAGTTGTAGCTGAAAATTTTAGAGCATTTATTTTTCTTGCTCAGCAATGGTCAGTAGCAAAGTCGGATGTTTTCTCGGGCTCAATATATCGCACATATTCAAAGGTTGGGCTTTGATGCCCTGCATACGATGTTCCTCTTTGCCGTTTCGTGTACCATTCCTGGGAAGAATAATTGCAACTTGTAAGGTGTCAGGATAACTGCTGAAGGTGGTGAAGCTGAGTGACATTCATAAAGAACATCTATAATTTTACATAGAGTCTCGTTTGTGCAAGCCTAACACAAATGGAAACTGGTCATGGACCTGTTGTTTTACTAGCAGTAACAGGTAGTTGGGGCTTCTCTAGTCAAGTTTTCAAATTGTCGGCAGAGGGGAGTTAGTCCTGTGGTTGATTGTGGCAAAAAGATCTAAATTGAAGCTGAAATGCAAATCAGATGGTATCAGGCCAGGTGTCGATCTACCCTTACTTTACAGGCTTAGTTCTGACTGCTTGTATAAAGTGTATATTCTTGCGGTTAACACTTCTCTCGATAGATAGCGATGGAGCAGAGACGTGGTGACACTACAATCATCACCCCTTTGTCCTGTTTTCTTTTTTTTTTTTCCTCCCCTTTTTGGGTTTATTATTTGCACATTTTCTTTTACCGCCTAGAATGTGTAAACTGAGGAAGTTCAAATATGGCACTCGCGTTAAAGAATAAACGCACAAAGGCCATTTCCTGCAGAGGCCCCAGAATTTGTGTGGACTAGGGTGTTTGAGGAATGTCCTAACCTTGGATGCTCTACGAGGAAGTTGGCTTAGCGCAACAACGTATGCAAACTTCTTTTTTTTTTTAGAAGGGAGTGGAAATTGTGTGCTCGGTTCCACATTTTGTTTGTCCCGGTAGACAACAAAATTACACTCTCAGCAACAAAACCAGCCAACATTGGCCGTGCACGACTGCTCATTGAATGGGGTTGACAAGTGCGGGTCACGTTTATCTACAGATTCTGGTTTAAGGGGGAAGAATGCGCCGAAAAGACCGCTTACTCCTGTTACGAGCAGTATTGAGCCATCTTTCATTCGTTAGAAGAACTACGAAAGTTGCGGCATTGCTAAGGCCTTTATAGATAATGACGCGACGAGAACGGCAGGGAAGAACTTCGGTTGTCCCGCCTCCAGCGTGAGCTTCCTACCTTTGATAACGCCTCAAAACTTGAAGAAGGCTTCGAGCGCGCACATGCAACCAACGCACGTTGAAAGGCGGCAAACGTGTGCCCGAGACCCCCGCCGTCCTTGTCTTGTCGCCGACTACAATACAACAACGGGCAGCATTTTTGGATGAAAACCGTCCACGGAGTTGGGAAGCTTGTGGAGGCGACACGAGGACACCAGAGGCAAAGCGAGAAGTGTGGAGGGACTCGGCCTCGACAATGACCAAAACAAAGAGATTCCATCAAACAAGGAGAGCCACCTCATGTCGTCCCCAGAAGCTTCTTACCTCTATTAGACAGTCGTAGGACCAACTATGATGCCTGGAACGCATCCCCAACTGGTACGTTTATTGCGTCCAAAAGAAGTGGTCCCTCGATTTCCGCCTGATGATGTAAGTGTCATACTGTCGCCTTTCCGCGATCCCGGCGGTGGCAGATGTGGCAGGCGCCCGTTCCACTACGGGTCTCTCTCCAGCTGGACAGTCCACGGAAGCTTCGGCAGCCAGGAGTTGGGACGCTGGGATGACGGGGTCACTTGCATTCACTCGTGCTTTTTGCCAACATGTCTACGACCGACCGCCAATATCTTGACATCCAACGGCGTGGCACCCCGGCATTTGCGACGTCGTTTGTTGCCACTTGGAGACTATTTTTGACGCGTGGCCAGAATAAGGCTCTAGACGTGTCGGTCGGACGCTCGTTTGGGGCGCCATAAGTGTCGACCGATGGCGATCTCACTGTTGCACGTCTGCCTCTCGAACAGGGATCTCAGCCGACGATGTCCAGGAGGTGTTCATGGGCAACGTCATCTCTGCTGCCGGAGGCCAGGCACCTGCGAGGCAGGCTGCCCTCGGGGCAGGTAAGTTCTCGCCAATATCTGTGTCCTCGACGGCCGGTTTGCGCCGTCCACGTAAGATACGTGCCACTGGTGCGTCATTCCTTGTGACACGCTCAGTCTTCCCTGTGATTGGCGATCCGACGGCTGCTGGGTTCTGCGGCTAGAAACCTAGTGTCCCACGTACGTAATTTCTACAAGGTGTGTCTGCACTTCGTGGCAATTTTTATAAAAATGTAGAAATGTTCACAAGAATTCTCCTATATTCGCAGTCGCGTTTTGAGGACACCGATGGGACCGACAAAATAATTGCGAAAGTAAGCTGTAATAGCGAGCTGTCTGTTTAAAGTGTGCAAGTGGAAATCTAACGGTACAGCGTAGTTTTTGCTGAGACATGCAACATTGTAGCCAATAATTGAGAGTTGTCGAGTAGGGAGGAGAAGGCTGGTGTGAGGCATTTTGGTATTGGCCTTGGTCTTTGTTTTCCGCACAAGTCTATTCGACTGGGGCAAACAGTCTCTGGCACTGGTACAAGCTTTTATTGCTCGATCACGGCCGACCAAATGTTTTATTCTGTCGGGCTTGTGCGGTATTTCGGCTCGGCCAACATGATTACCTGTTGGTTAATCGCCGATTGATGGGTCGCACATCTGGGAACTAGAGGCCCTAATGACGTTACCTTATGTTCATAGGTGCTGTGAAGAAGTGTTCTAATGCCCAAGTAATGGTAATGGATTATCTGTTCCCTGCAGGCGTGTCGCAGTCGACGCCATGCACGACCATCAACAAGGTGTGTGCCTCTGGAATGAAGGCCATCATGCTGGCAGCGCAGAGCCTCATGTGCGGAGCTCAGGTAGCCACTCCTTTGCCGTCGGCATTTTTCATTTCAAGTTCTCAATAGACCCTTTCCGGAATTCAGTGCCATCTGGTGACTCAAATGGCAGTTTTTGTTTTACTATACTAATGGCGGCGATGAACCTGTGGTGTGCAGTATTTAATGGGGCACCGTCACTTAAAGGTCAACGGTAAACGAGAATGTGCACTTCACTACAATTATTTTTCAATCTCTTAGTGTCGATGGCGAAACAAATGCAGGCAATCGGAACGAAGCGCCAACCCACACAGACGTCTTGATAGAGTTCTATACATCAAGGGGCTTTGAAGCCGAGTGTGGGCTACTAACACATTGATGCGACCAAGTTAGAAATGAACGCTTATGCAGCTCTTGCGTCCAATTCCTGCTTCACGCCGCGCTAACATCTAGAATGTAGGCCTCGAATCATCTCCTTAGGAGCATCTTCCAACTTCTTCCTTCATCAGTAAACAGAAGGCCGCCATTAGTATAGCACATATGCCGTTTTCAGATGATGATGATGATAGTGATCAAAGTGGCCTGACTGAATTCCGGAAAGGGTCTATTTATCAAACCCTAAATAATTGACAGTGGTGGGATTAGACTGTTTGCGAATGCCTTTCCTTTGGTCTTACCCCTGATATAGGCTTGCTCTCTTCTCTGGTGCCTTAGCATAATGTGAGCTTTAGTTTTGCACGCAAAAGGAGCAGTGCTGTAGACTAGTCAACCCTCACTAGAAGTGCGGCATTTGTAAAAAGTTGCCTTATTATTTCCAGCCTCTCACTGACTACGTGATATCTCGAACTAGTGCCCACTCCTGAAAGATTGCCTATACTCTTTTTCTGGTGAAATATCTCTAGAGTTGAACGTGCGGACACATCATGCACTCCATCCATCTAGTGGAGTGTGTGATGGGGACTCCTTTAAAGCGCAACTCCGCTCAATTCCGAAGATTTCGGGATAATGATTGATTTCGAATTAAAAAGCCCTAGTAAAACACACTACGTCGTCTGCTTTGCGAAAAATGGGATATATATTTTTAAATCTAATTTTAAACACGAGCGGAAATCGAAACCGAAACTTCGGCTTTGCCCGGCAACATTGGCCTCGGGTCACCAAGTACATGGCTATCACGTGGTACGAGATGTCACGTGATCCTCGGCCCAACGACGGGCGGGATTGGGGCTGGCGTGTGGCAGGTGCGAGTGTCGTCTGCACCGCACTCTTCGCCACGTTTTGGTGTCTACGGCATTTGACGACGTCTGCACAACTGCGGCATAAGTCTGCGCACGTGGGTTTCGTAGTGTGGACGAGCCAATAATCACAATCGGTGAGACGACAACGGCGGTTGTGACGCGGAAGACGGTGGTAACGGCGGGACCACGGCGGGCGGCTGGACGGCTCCCAAGAAACGCGCTGCGCAGGCGCGTTACACCAACCACGTGGACACCGCTGAGCGCCAAGAGGCAACGTTGCTGACGTCATGTGCTACACTCGCCCGGAGAAGTGAAAACAAGCAAAAGGGGGCCATGATAATGACGTTTAGCTCGATGTTGGCTCCGCCCATGCCGTAGCCTTGACTGCGCTGTTGGTTGCGCCTGAATTTGTTCGCTCAAGTCAGCCGATTTTGGCAACTTGGCGAGTTGCAAAGTTTGCCGGACCGTTTAAGAAACATTTAGACAGAACTGCGTCGTAACATTTCACGTGTGGTCTTCCTAGGTGATACTGAAGAGGACTGCATTGTTTTTTCAATACTAAAAATCAAGCGAAGTTGCCCTTTAAGTGCAGTCACCACCTTGGAGGGTGTACTTTTTAAGTGCTGGTGCTATTTCAATGAAATTGGCAGGATATACTAGGCATGCAAACTTGGGAGGCTACACTAACTTTCAGATGAAAAGGTCAATTTCGTGCCAATTTACAGCCTCATATTGTCAAAAATATACAACTAGTAGTGCCGAGGGAAAAAAACTATTGTTACAAAACAATACCAAAATGTCACAATTTGTTTCCTTGGATATAAGGACAAGTGATTAGATTAATCAGTAGTAGGTTTCAAATAATTTTAAATGCCGTATTTAGCGTTAAAGTAAACTTCGAAAAAGGGATTAATTTCATTCATTTTTTTACTGTTAAAAAAGTCAACATTTTCTAGCTAAAGACATAACAATCTTGAAGAAATAGGTATGTAGTCAAGTTCTCCAGTAAATTTCACTCCAGAAAAACTGCGCAGCAGTTAGGAAGGTAGTTCAGTCATCGAACGATAGTTTTTGAGCAATGAAAAAAAATGGTCAAAACATGAAGCTGAGGAAAACGCGTTTGAAAATCCATATTGTGTTCCATTTTAGATGGCACTTGCCACTTGATGTAAAATGCTGCACGAGCGTACGTCGGTCGCACACCAATCACCTAGCTGTGTTTGGATTTGTGTTTGTCCTTTGTCCCTCTTGTTCCCCTTCTCCTGGGATTATTTGCGTCGGTCAGTCTGTACTTTGCATTGTCCTTCTGTGCTTTGGCCACAGCTTCCATCTTTTGTTTCTTGCGCTATGCTTCAGAGGACTCGAGTGCTTTCACCTTGGGCCTTTGCAACCTTCGTCCGAGTGACCTTCACGGCCTCCGATGTCTGGTGGCTCCCTCGCTCAATGCCTATCTGCACAAAAACTTTCTCACAGCCTCGAGGACCCAGGTTGAAGACTGCAAGAGCCACAGCACACTCTGCAGTACTTGGACAGGGTGTCCAGCGACCGGGAAAACCGGGAATTGTCAGGGAAATTTTAATTACCGGGAAAAATCTGGGAATTGTCAGGGGTATTGTCAAAAGGCGAGCCCAGTCAAAGAAAACTAGCTGGAAACGCCATCGAAAGCCCTGAGCAAAGACTTGAGGACTTGGGTGCAGAAAAATGGGCAATAAATTCTGCTTGGAGCAGAGCCCAGGCTCTGCTCACCCGATGTAGAGTGTGCTACTTGATGCAAAGGGAACAGCCGACAAACCCAGTTAAGCCTTGGATTGGATGGAATTGAGGGTGCAACACTAGGCTAAATTTAGTTAGTTACTAAATTTAGTAATAAATGGGAAAGCCGCAGACCCCTATCCAATCCAAGCCGAAAGTATCTGAAATTGTCCATTTGGCGGCCATGCTGTGTGTGGCCGCCAAGGCGTGTGTGGTTGAGCGTCAAGTTTTCATCGTGTTTCTGGAAGTGGCCTCCCCACTGACGATGTCGCCGGCAAGAAAGGGCTCGTTCGATCCAGACTGGACGAACCCGAATATTTTGGAATATGAAAGTTGCATTAAAGGGATACTGAAGCGAAACTTTAAATACACCTATTATGGTCAGAAATAGGTTTAATATGATCAATGATATCCGTAAATCATAATCGCGCGTTTGTATTTTGAACGGATGGCTATATTTTTCACCCTGAGGGGCCCCGATTGGTCGCGTGCTCAAAAATCTGCCATCGGAGAGCGCGATACGTCTTGGGATATTGGGCGCATTCGTGACGTCACTTGTGCCAGACGGGAAAGGGTACGGCGTGGCTGTTGTGGTTACGAGCGTTGCCACTTGGTGGCGCGTCGACGATTTACGACCTGTGATATGGTGTGACAACGTGGCCGTTTGAGATATGCAAGGGCTGCACGCACGCTGCACCACGGCAAGTCGGCAACCACGGCACCACTGACAAAACCAGCTCTGTGGCCGGATTCTCAAAGCGAACTTACGACGAAAAAAGTGGGTACGACAAATATGAGAAGAACCCGTATTCTCTAAACGAAATTGTCGTAACTTTTGTGCAGGTTACGACAGAATCCTACGACAGCTCCGCAGCTGTCTTACGCACTTTTTACGATCGAATCAACATGGCCAACAGCGTCGCTGTTACTTGGTAGCGACGACCAATGGACATTTATTTTTCTACGTGCTCTTCTCGTGCGTCCCGACTTCAACCAGCAAGAAAAAAGGAAGGCGTACTTGAAACAGACCACGACGATCAAGAACGCAGGATCCACAAACACCCGAGAAGAGCTCCAACGGCCACGATTCTACCGACCAGGCGAGCTCGGCAGAATATAGTAGGCCTAGCAGCAACACCGACTCGGCGCACCGTTGCTCCGGCGGTCCTTGGCCAAGACCGTCTGCCCATGACCGGCTGGCCAGCTGAATGGAATATGCCCGCGTGACCCTTGTGGACCCTTCCCGGATGAATAGTTTGATCCCTGAACTAAATTTCAGAGGTCATTCTTTTCCCCTTGTCATCTCCATCTCCTTGTTTCCCGAGACAGCGGTGACGAACGCTGTCGTCGAAAAGGGACTCTCATTGATTTTATCTCCTTGTTTTGTGTGATATAGAGCTCAAATAAACGCCATACTGATTACCTTCGAAACACGGTACATACACTTTGTTATTAGTGTGCCATTTTTATTCTGACACGACGCTACGTCACTGTTGAGCTATAGCAGTTCGTGGGAGCTACGCGATGTCTGTCCAACCTTTCTTTGCCGAGTGTCATGTCACTATCGAGTTGCCATCGTAAAAGATCGGTCCAGAAGCGCTTACCGAAACACGTACTAACAGAGCGAATCCAGCACTTCGATCAAACGCGCGTGTCCGCTCCGAGTGTAAACAGTTCTTGCTGACACTCTCGTTGATCAACCTATCTTTTTTAACGTCGGCTCACAGCTCGCAACTCACAGCAAGTTATACCGGCCGTGCCAGAAGCATGCTCGGGTCGTGTCGGGCAAAGAGCTGCAACGAGAACGAGCTCACTGTGGCCAACTACACTTTGGCTTTCTCCGTCAAGGCTTTACAAACGCGTTCAGGCCTAGGCTAATTCTGCCGGCACGCCGTATTGCCGCAGAACGGCGCTGCTCCTATGCCACAAGTGATGTCACGAAAACTTCCCACCATCCACCAGATGTGAATTTGAAATTGTTTAATTAGGTTTAAAATTAGTTCTCCTGTGTTTTACAGCGCGATATTGATATTCCCGAGGTGGTGCCTGTCCCTAGCCCATATTTATGCAGAAAGATCGGCGCTAAAATTTCGTTTCCGTACCCCTTTAAGCCCGTGCAAAATGATCTTCACAGTGCTCAATGCTCAGTGCCTTGTGTTGTAATGGTCTTATATTCGTAATCACCTCTACAGTGGTCAGGAAAATTCACCTGAATTTGCCAGGGAAAACATGGGAAGTCGGGGAATTTCAAAGTAATAATTTCCTAGACACCCTGCTAGAGAAGCGACCTTTGGTCATTTCTTTCAAATCTAGGCGTTCAAAGAATCGGTTAAGTTCCAGGTTTTCATCTGGGAGCATCTTTCAAGCAAATCCCTCCGTCACAGGCGGTTGTATAAGGGCACTAGCTCCTTTGCTATCTCCATGGAGAAGGCTGTCTTATGTGGCCGAGATGCTGGTGATTCTTGCGCTTCCTCGGGGGCCTTGCTTCGGTTCAAGTGGCACCAGGAGTCCATCCTATTGGAACAAGCTATATGAATTGCAGGGTGTCGAACCGGAACCGAACCGAAAACCGGAACCGAACCGGTATTTTTTACGGAACTGAACCCGAACCGTTGTATTGTTATCGCAATGAACCCGAACCGGAACTGAACCGGAAAAAAAAATAACGGTTACCGGCTCATGTCAAAACGGTTCGGCCACGCGCTGTTGACAATGAATGTGCTATCAATGCCATTTGTTTTTAAGTATTGTCAACTGACACACACCTTGCTTACATATTTTTCTTCTCCACTTAGTCTTAGGAATATAAACGCTGCATCCATGAATCTTGACAATCGCTGCATCCATGAATCTTGACATAAGAACCAGTATCGCGCTGGTCGCGGCTTGCACGGAAAAAAATTGGAAGGCTGTGCAAAAAAAAAAATCGCGTCACAGGATTTCATTTTCCTACAATCTCGTAAATCCTAAATGCTGCTGTGTGCTCATTTCATAACACGTTTCTAGAACGCGCGAGTTCTTGAAGCTTGCTTCCATCGGAATGAGAAAAGAAAAGGCTGTGGAGTTTGATAATAATGCCTCCGGTTTCTTATAGGCACTTAGAAGCTAACATATTTGTGAGACAGCGAACTCTTCTATTTTAATATTTACCCTATTTCGTCCTTCTGGCGTTGCGTTCGGTGAAGTGTTTTTCATATTCCGTATCTTGTTTAATGAAAACTTCTTTAAGGGTCTAATTTGAGTTACCGAAGGCTAGTTCAAATAAAGAAAGCTGTATTCTCTCCCCACTGTTCCTTCAATTGCTTACACGCCGAGGTGGCGGGATAGTTAGCGAGTTCTACTTGTAAGTGGGTTTGTAAGGAAGTCGCAAATTTTACAGCTACTGCGTCGGACCCAATTAGATGAAGTCCGAATGCGTAAACGTCGGTGAGGTAACCTTTGAGTGCACATAAAGAAAGCATTCCTGGTAGAAATCCCTGAGCCTTACACTGCGATGTATCCCGTTTCGTATGTGCTGATTTCAGATGTTTTATTTGTAATTTATTTTGATGTTGCAATTTGTCATTTATAATTTCCGAACCGGTTCGCGAACCGGTTCAGCGCCCCGAACCGGTTAGCGGATCGAATTAATCGAACCGGAACCGAACCGGAACAAAATAAATTTACCTGAACCTGAACCGTAACCGAACCCATATTTTTTTCGGTTCGACACACTGATGAATTGATACTCGTTGGTGGGGAATGAATGCAGGAGACTGGCATACACTCCACGCTGCATGGAGTGTGGAGTCGCGCCAGGTTTGAGCGAATCAGAGTTCCTTCTTCAGCAGTGTGGCCAATAAGAGAGCAGACAGTATTGTTTTCTATGGGGTTTTACGTTTGCTGCGCACAATGTTTCGCAAGGAGCTCTATACCGAAAGATAGATTAAGCACTCTTTTCAATGAGGGATGTCTGTCTGTGCTAGGCCTAGTAATTGCGGAGCGAGCGCGCTTTGAGAATAGCAACTCAGTGTGACCACAGGCGTTTGTACGAAGCATACTTGCCCGCCGGTAGGTCAAAAAATTGTTTGTTTCTGAGTCAATACTTTATCTCCAGGAATAAATATTTTTGGCAGCATTCTTCAGGAGTTATACAAGCTGGTAAAAATAATTTTCAAAAACATGACTTTTTAAAATATTTGTTATTTTAAGGCCATGCCCCCCCCCCCCCCTCCCTCCCTCCCTCCCTCCCTCCTTCCCTCCCTTAAACTGCCAAACTCCCACAAAAAAAAAAAAAAAATTTGCTGGGGTTTCAAATTTGGCAGATTAGAAGAATCGCTGGGCCATACCTGCAGTAAGATTAAGCACATTTCATTTTTCTGTAATTGCAGCATAGTAATGAATACCATACAAATCTGCAAAGCATAGAACTGCAATAAGGAAGTTCTCTAGATTTCTTGTTTATCTTCTTTTCTGTCAGTCCAATGTCTCTAAATGAGAAAACGCGCAATTTAGAAAATATTGTTGGAGATTTTAAAAGGTGATTATATGATTATAGTTCTACTTGTTGGAGCTGAGCTAGTTGAACCATGTACTTGGGTGGTGCCAGCTGAATACTAAATTGATCGTTGCATCAACGACCGGACAAGGGAACATGCTGCTTTGTTAAGGAACATACCAGCAGGGGGACATCTACCACTCCAGTGTCGAGAATTCCGGTGCGGTGCAAGTCTGAAAAACATCAAGGTTCTAGGAAAAAAACAAAGAATAACTTGCGCATGAAATCCTTGAAGCATTGGCCATCGATGAAAAAGATCAATGTTTCAGTGCGCCTTCCCTGGCGCTGCAGGTGCAAGAACAACTTTCTCCTGAAGGACGCGAAGCAACTCCATGTTTGTAAATAGGTATGGAAGAAGGCTTTAATCCAGTCTGTAAATAAGGAAGAAGAGGGCTTCAATCCAGGTTGTAAATATTGAGAGTAGCAAAGAAAGAAGGCTTTAATAGTTGATAGTCCAGTGGTTGTAAATTTTCTGTGTTTATTACTGTTCAGCTGGCACCACCCAAGAACATGATTATTGTGGTTCTTTCACGAACCTGTTTTAGTGACGATTAATAAATATCTTGTTTAAAGGCAACTAAATTTGAAAAGGGCGACTGCTCTAGTTAACGACAGCTAAAGAAAACCTGGGCACGGCACGTTTGGTTCGTCTCATTATCACTCCGCACCCAATGAGATTGCAGCATGAGAACGCTGCAGAACTAATCGCAAAGCATGCACTTTGTTAGCAAGCGTGCTCCAGGTTTTCCGAGCTGTCGTCCACCATACTGCACCTGCCCGTCATCCAGAGAGTTGAGTACACCTCGGCTTGGTATATCCTTCGAGGTGGTAATTAATCTCTGGCAAATTACCTGTTTGGATTTCCACGAGACGTGCACGACCAATGTTTCTGCACCGTCCTATCGAATTCGAACGACATGTTGGACCGGGCATTGGCTCGTCGAGCTTTCAGGCCCCACCTTGCACCTCACACAGCCCTCGCTTTCTCTCCCTGGACAGGAGGTGATGGTGGCAGGAGGCATGGAGAGCATGTCCAACGTTCCCTACTACCTGGCACGGGGCGAGACTCCTTATGGCGGAGTGCAGCTGACGGTGTGTTGCCTTCTTCCTCTTTTCTTGTCATTTATCGCACGGCCTCTCTCCACGCACGGGCGTGGCCCCAAACGTTTTTGCGGTTTTGTCAGGCGACTCCGCAATGCGTGGGCTTCAAAGTTAGCGGTGTCGAATGCCTGTCTTGGTTGACGGCCAAGAAACCCTTCTAGATCTCGGCATTGATGTCGTAAAGCGGTGCTGACGCCCACAGACCCTGCAAATCATAATGCGCATACTAGGAACAGTTTGGCTGATAGTTGCACATTTATGGGCGGTTTGGGTACGTTGGAGGAAGTTGGGGGGAACCCAGTTTGAGAATGTGTGGCGCAAAGCATTTAGACGAGCGCACAGCCACATCGTTGACTCTGACGCAAAAGGCCGGTCCACAGATCCCCAGTTGGTGGCTTTGGTTAGTGCCCATAATCTGAATAAGGCCTACATTTGGTGTAGGCGCCGTGTAACTGAGAGTTTGATTGGCACGTCCAGCATTTCCAGCCGGCCTACATGTGTACCGTGTGCTCCGAAGGGAATCCGAATTCTTTATTCATACTCTAATTTGAGCATGATCATGAAACATTTTGTCTTTGACCGTTCGTTTGTCTACGGAATGTACTACCTAAACAATTTTAGTTTGGAAAGTGTCCAGTGCTCTGTCACTTCGTTGTTACAGGGGGGGGGGGGGGGGGGTAATGCATAGGGGCTGCTATTTCTGCTCTTGGTTTCGTCTCCAATTTCTGCACCTGACGGCTCTTCTTTTGTTGTTCAGGATGGTATCGTCTACGATGGCCTGACTGATGCCTACGACAGGATCCACATGGTATGTTTGTTCTTTGTTTCGTGGTTTCCTTGTCAGACATAGTACAGTCTAAGGGTGCTGGAAATGATGTACAACCTGGGCAGCGAATACTTTTTGTTGTGCGTGCCTACGCTAGATAGTATCTGATCCTGCACCCTCGTGGAGAGACGCCTCGAGAAATACCGATGACTCCAGAGACACGAAACGTCCTACGGATGCTTTTTAACAAAGTGGAGTGCAGCAGCGGTGACAGAAGCAACTCGACTGATACCCCAAAAAACTTGTGGGCAAACTTTTTTTTTTTACTCAGTAAAGGTGTTGCGAGTTGTTCATTACCAAGGCGAGTGTTTCGCGGTGCTCCCATCCACTTTCGAGGTTGCTGTCGCTGTTTTTTGGGGGTAACTCACTTTTATCAAACTGCCGCTTATCTTTGATTTTTTTTTTCCATCCCATTGACTTTGTTATAATTAGGGGCTACAGTATGTGCAGCGAGTATCGGGCGTCTGTAGGCAAATGTGTAGTGTTTTTGCACTTTTTTTTATTTACCTATTTGTGTATAAGCCCCGATCTCCCTTTTTTAGACATTGAGTTCTGGAATTTTGGAAAACTAAAGTGCAGTGGTGGAAGTGCTGTGCCATATGCGCCAAACCATGCCATGATTGAGAGTTTGTTACATCTCGTGCCAAATTGAAATTTTTACTAAGAATTGTCCACAGCTGCGCTAAATGTCAAAACTACTAATACAGTGTTGACCGCATATACGTATGTCGCGGTAGTTGCAAAAATCCGCACTATAAGCGATACCGCGTTATAACCAAAACATCAATTTTTCAGGCCAAAATACATGCCATGAGACAACTTACCTTTGTAAAACAATTTATTTTATGCGAGATGAAAAATAAAGCTTAGTTTGAGGAAAGTCTTTATTTCACCAGACTAGTACACTTCTCTCTCAAGTTTGTCACACATTTTGAAAGAAATGAGCGGCTTTTGCCTGGCGCAGCCTTTTAGCGGCGTCGCGGGTTGCGGACGGACGTTGCGAGTGTTCAGGATTGCTAACTCTAATCACTTTTCTCCGGAGATGAAAACGCGTGAAAATTCGGATCCTTCATACGGTACGCGCCAGTAATACCTTGAACTTGAGCACACGCATGAAATGCGCCAAATAAGAAATCCAGGCGATGTTCAAGCACACAAATGCTTAGAAATCACCACTGTAGTCTAAGTAAACAAACACGACGACACGGGCGTTTCTGCTGTCTTGAGAGTGCCGCCACGGCATCGCCGCTCGGTTAGGTGGATCTTCCCTTCTAGTACGTGCTGGGTTATCATAGCGACACACAGCGAAAATTCACAGTAAAGGATAGCGCTTTTACGCGGAACGATGAGATGAACGCCGTCTAAGACGACGATCACAACGTTGATCACAACCGATGCCATGTTTGCGGAGAAGCAGCCGGCCCGCGACCGGCATGCGACGCGCGCGAACACTTCTCGACCTGCGATTGGTCTGTCGTTGCGGTTGTTTCGGATGTTTTCAAGGAAGCGGAGGGACGCACGCACGTGAACGACACGTGCGTGCGTCCCTCCGTCGCTAGGGCAACTGAAGCCTCTCTCTTCGCTTCTCCCGCTTCTTCAAGCAACCTCCTTGCCCCGCGAGTGCCGCTTGCGCAACGCTTGCGGCTCGCGCCGTCAGCGCCGTTATCTAGTGTCGCACAAAGAAGCGTGCTCGCTGCTCCGGTCGTTGGCGCGGTTGGCGGGCTGTGCCAGAAACCGCACTATAACCGGTATTTCCCTTCGCGCGCCTGCATTTTAAGCGGTATGTAATTACATGGAGCCGGTGGTTTAAAAAAACCGCGTTATACCCGGTCCTGCACTATAAGCAGTTACGTTGTAAGTGGTCTATACTGTAAACGGTTCTGTCATTCGTTTCACGAAAAGTTAAATATTTTTGTTGCAAACCTCGTTTCAACGAAAATCACAAAGCGAAACCGAAACCTTGCTCGCGGCAGGCAACATTGGTCCTGCTCATCAACTATGGGAAGTCACGTGGTACGGAAACGTTGACTACCGTAATTACCAGATTCTAACGCACCCCCGATTCTAACGCGCACCCGTTTTTCCAGGCCAACAAACCAGAAAAACTTTCACCTCCCATTGTAACGCGCACGGAACTTCGTGATCAAGAACAATGAATGCGAGAGAAACAGGTGAATTAGTTACCGAAGTAGTCGCTCATCTCCCTCCTCGTCGCTCTCCGCTGACCACAATATGTCGTCCTCGGTGCCGTCTTTATGTTTTCTCCAGTCGCGCACACACGTTTCGGGGACGCCGAAAGCACGCGCAGCGGCTCTGTTGCCGTCTCGGCACACATAATCACTCTTTTCTTGAAGCCGGCTTCATAGTGGAAGCGGCGGACCTTCGTTGCAGGCTGCCATTGCGCGCAAGTAAGCGCGCAAGTGGGACGACTTGCGTGAACGCAGAAGGAAAAATGGTTGCTAAAAGCACGGAGGAAAGCTTCGGCGCCATCTTGGCAAAGAGCTTCGGCGCCATCTTGAGATGGCGATAGCAATGGGTGGAACGAAATTTCCGCTGTTTTGACAGTTTCGGTTTCGTATTTGATTCCATCACTGTGTGCTCTCACTGTTAGTATGACATGACACTGGGTTTAGTGTAGGTGTATGTGTAAGTGAAGTATGACATGGCACTGGGTTTACTGTAGATGTTTTTGCATCAATAAATTACTCTCAATTTGTTCCAGGTGGTCTGTTGGTTGTAATCTGGGAATTTGAAAATACAATTATTGTTGACACTCTGGTTTAGCACTTGGGTTATTTCAAGACCAAGAGTCGACAGTTGGGTGGCTAGTTCTCGAGGCTCACGCTGTCACTCCCTTTGTTTTCACTACAGGGTGCTTGTGCAGAGCAAACCGCCAAGAAGTATGAGGTGTCGAGGCAAGACCAAGACAATTTTGCCATCGAAAGTTACAAGAGAAGTGAAGCTGCAGCAAAGGCAAGGCTCTTGCAAAGTTCCCCAGTCGTTTTAAAGAAGTGATTATTTTTTAATCGGATCTGTTCAGTCCGACTAAAATGCCGCCCAGGGCACGTGCAAAAAATGAATGGAGCTCCGACGCCGCGTCTATTGAGACTAGCCAATTTTTTAAAGAATATATATATATGTAACATAAATATATCCTCCTCTAATTAGCCGCTTTTATGTGCTGGCATATTGGGAGAATGTTATAAAACAAAGAACAAAATGAAGTGGGCAAAATGCAGACACCCCTGTCCTTGTTTTGCCAGTGGCCGGCAGCAGTGTAAACCAACAATGATTGTGCTGTACAACATATAGCCAACTCAGTTGATTGCACGATAACCAGTGGGCCTTTTTCTTCTGTGCTTGGGCGTATTTTTCAACCTTGCTTTTTCCTTTCCTCGAATACCCGCTGAGCAACCCATCTTGTGTGGCTACCAGTTTCGATGTTTATCTCTTTCAATACCATGGGGAAAAGTAACAATTTCTGAGGAATGGACAAAAGTTTTTTTTTTTATTTTTTATTTAAGGACTGGTCAGCATATGGCTAATTGTGGCACCTCAAAATGTAGCCAATAAGCTGCTCTTTAGACAAAAACAAAAAGTGGGTTTACAGTAATGTCTCATAAAAAAAAGATTGTCATATTTAAATGCTAAACTTAAAACTTGTGCAAAATTGAAAAACAAAAAAGAATTTGTGGCTATATAAATTTATACTACGATTTAAAAAAATTCTAAGTACACAAGGTGAGCCTCGTGCACACCACTGTTACTTCTGTACGTAGGTGAGCTCTAGTTGATGCCGTCTCTTATCGGTCTGTCGGCAAGGGCGCTTCCATGGCATTATGTCATTCAGAGATACTGTTACATGCGAAGGTATGTGTCCTCCAAAGCATTCCTTTTTTTTTTTTTTTTTGCACAAAACTATTTTTTTTTTTTTTTATATATAGCAGTACTCTAATTTCTCCTCTGCTGATGTTTTATGGCTTGCAGAACACCCAAAACCTGTGTCCCGAATCTGGACAGCCTAGAAAGCTAATGCTCTCCAACGAGCACCTGTCGATATTCTGCGCCTCAGAGACAAACCCTCACTGCTGCTGTCATTAAAAAAAAAAAATAGCAAATGCGGTTAATGTGTGTGATTGAGGCTCTTTATTCGCAACTCCCAACGCCCTATAGATGGCGGGGCGGTAGTTCCGAGATAGTGGAAGAGACTGGGATAGATTCTCCACGATTTCCCATGCGCCTGCTCGCCGATGCTGTTTGGTGTGTGCTAAAAATAATTTTTTTGTCCACAAATGCGAAGTTGTCGGAGCAGTAGCATATTACAGGTGACAGAGATGTTGTGCGTTAGGAAAACGAGCATGTTGATATTTCAAAGTTGCGGAAACCTCAACTTGCGAAGCTTTGTGGAGGGCGAGCGCATTTTGGGCACCGTCCACGTCACTGTTTGTGGAAAAATATTGTTGAGGATGATGAAGGTACCGTGGTGTTTTGCTGTTTGCGCTTTGCCTGGCCCCATCAGTGCCCTAAAAAATTAGCCCTGCACGGTGACTGGCAAGCTCCAGGAGAGCAGCATTCATACAGTATTGATGTATTTGTGTCGGAAGCTCAGAACTCGCTGCTCACCGTCGCGGTTTTGTTCATTACAACATGTGATCAAACTGCGCTATGGCTACTAATAGGAAGTTTTAGGATAGCACGACCGCAGGCTACCATACGTATTGCAACCAGAAGCTCGCGCTGCACCTTTGAGGCATAATTTGCAGCGCATGCCTGGGGCGGTGGCTGTGCTCACGGTAGCCTGCTGTAATGCTATGCTAAAACTGCCTAATATATTAACTTTATCAGCGTGTTCAGGGGTTTTATTTAATTGGTAATCAAAAATAAATATTTTAATATAGCATACATTTGTTCGTTACATGGCGAGGTGGTTTGCAACGTTGCGACCCGCCTTGCCAAGACTGCCTGTTCTAATCTCGTCACAAACGGCTGGCTAACACAGATGTGCGTAGTATGCTTCGAGCATTTCTTTATTTGCCTTTGTAATTATCTGGAAGCAAGCGCATATTCTGTCTTTTGAAAGTGCTTGGAGCAAATGGTCATGCTCCTTGTGACGTCTTTAAAACGCGAACCCATTCCCAATCTCTGTTGGTCGACATACCGTTACATGACCAGTTATTTCTTAATTTGGGCAAAGAATAAACTTTTCGCAGACTGAAAATTAGCTGGAGTGTCTGCCATCACGTCGAGCACAGATTGAGCTGGCGACCACAAGACCAGAAATTCACAGCGTATGCGATATGTGAAAAGTCCCTAATGAAATTGGACATCCTGGTCCCTTCGTGCAACACTGTTGCAAGGTGGAGCACAAGAATTCCTATTTAAACGCACTCACTTTTTTCGATAAAACTGCTTCACGCACGAACACACCGACCAGAACCATGCAGTAATAGCAGCACCAAGACACAAAGGCCGACAGTCCCTGCCACTGTCTCCGTGCCACCGCCGTTGCCGTCCCTGTTCCTCTAGTTCTCCGTTCGTCCGCAAGAAAACGAGCAGTGGGCTGGGGTTGCAAATAGCAGTCCCCGCTATCAGCAGAACATCATGTTGGACGAGTGCCTCCACTGGACAGAAATTTATTTCGGATAGCTCACGAGCTTGGGAGTAAGCTAAAAACGAAATTAAGACCATAGCTGTAGTTTTTTGTGGCTGTCCACGAGGTGGTGCAATGCGTTCCTGCACGCCAAATTCAAATTTTGTCAACGCACGGAAACCATTGAATATGGGTGATCGATGGCCCATGGGCGATCTATGGAAAGAGTTACGGGGCTCTATATCTCTCCTAGCTGTGCTCCGACTTCAATGTATCTGCACCTTGTCGGTGGCATTAATACTTGCTTGTTTGTTTCACGACAGGCTGGAGTTTTCGCCAAGGAGATAGTGCCAGTCACCATATCTGGGAAGCGTGGCAAACCAGACACCGTGGTCAGCGAGGACGAGGAATATAAGAAAGCCAACTTCGAGAAATTTGGCTCGGTTCCAACCGTGTTCTTGAAGGACGGAGGTAACGGACTCCCCTTGTCGTTCTTCAGTGTTTTCCTCGGTGCTTGGAGAGTGCTTGAATGAGAAATGCTGCCAAAATAACCAACCTCTATGGGGCATCCAAGTTTACTTCCCAGAACTTAGCAGAGCATTGCTCCTTCCTGCATGAAGCTTCTCAAAGCTTTGATGCTGAATATCTGGGGAACAGGAAAGTTCAGAGATCACAAGCTGCAGCCTTCCAACTGGGCTGTGGTCTTAGGAGATCTGAACTACAAATGTCAATAGTACTACTGACACGATAGGCAGAATCTGAATTTGTGTTATCAGCCGAGCAGCCGCACATATACCGACGCTTGCATGACATTTTCGTAATTTAGGGCAGTCTCCTGTCGTAGCATATTGCTGCAGCGGAACAAGAGGCTCGCTAATTTGTGCGTTGGGTGTAGTATTGTCTGCTTAGTTGGTGTTACACATTATCATAGTGTAACACGTGACACAGTTTGCCCGAATGGGGGATCGGCGCTTGCTCACATTCTGCATGCAGATGTATTTTCCTCTGCCATAGAATTTGAAAGTTAGTCAGATAGTTCTATTTTATCATTGTAAAAATTATGAAGTATAGAAATAGGGTGCAGGGTTGAGAGACCAGTTCTAAAGGATAGTTTTCTTTTTACAGGAACTATCACGGCAGCCAATGCCAGCACCCTGAACGATGGTGCTGCTGCGTGTGTCCTGATGACCAGGCAAGCAGCAAACAGGCTTGGAGTGAAGCCCATTGCTCGAATTGTTGGTGAGTTGTGGGGCTGTGTAGATGTTTTTGTCGTGCATGAATTCGGCTTTTTTTTAATTTGTTTGTGTTCAAAGGTCGTGGCTGGCATCCATACATTTCTGTGGAGCCAGATGCGGAGGGACTTTGTAAGGAAAGCAGAAAGTAAAAATATCAACAATATTTCACACGAGAAGTCGGGTTCAGCCGTCCGTGGGTCGGCCGGGAAACGCGAGAGATTTTCGTCATCCCTCAAACTCGTGGGTTCTATTCCGGTTCCCCAGTCCCCTGTCTCCGTACGAAGGTGACACGGCAACGCGTAGCTCTTGGCAGAAAGGGTTTGTTCCGCCCGTATTCTGCTCGCTTTTGGGATCTGGAAAGGTCGCCGAGGAAGCCCGGGAGGGGGCTAGTCCACACCGCATCCTCTGTCACCGGGCGGACGAAACCCCACGAACTACACCGAGAAGAGCGAGCGCCGCGAGTGGGTTCTTTTGTTCAGCGTCTTTGTTGGAGCGTGCCGTGTCGGGTGGAAATGTATAAGCGTAAAATGAAGCTGTGACGACCGGAGTTTGCGCGTGTTTTGCAGCCAACTTGAAAGCCGTAAGCTTCTGTACGATTATCGGCCCACTAGCACTGCTGCACCGCAAGACCTTCGCTAGCAAGATTGTGCCCTTGCCGCGAAAACTGCCGACTCAAACCTCGTGAAGACCGAAATGCCGACGTGGGAGGGACGTGGGTTTTTGTTCAGTATTTTAGATCAGAAAAGAAACAAATGTAGTTTACAAAGTACGGAAACTAGAAATGACCCATCGACATACCCGCCACCAAGCGGTGGAAAGGCGGCATATATTGGAAGGGGTAGCAGGATCAAGCACCAACGAGCGGCAAGTGTAGAAAGGTGCCGGATGTATGTGGCGGCACTGCGGCCGTATACGGACTCAAGGATCCGACCGGTTCCGAGCGTTCCTAAGGCCTTCAGCGAAAAGGTTTGGCTTGCAGTTTTGCCGTTTGGCGGTATGGCAGCACGAAGTGGCTCCCGTTCTGAACTGATCTTTAGCCCGTGTTTCCTGTTGTTTGTGGCCAATGAAGTGTCATGCCGAATTAGTCTTTAATCGTGCAGCAAATGCAATGCGAGCTGCCCTGGCTGCTCGCTTCATACAGCCTATCCAGAACATGCTTTAGTTGCACCCTCTCGAGCCATCGACACGAGTGTGGCAGTCGTGAGAGCTTGCTGAGCTCACTTCCCCTCAGCAAATTCACGGCCACTGAAGCAACCAAGGACGTCATGGAGGAGGCTATTTTTTGCTTGTTTTTGTCATTTTAATTGCCTATAACTTTTAAAACAAAGTGAAATTCGAGAAAATAAAGGTTTCATTAAGTCACTACGTTCAGTGCGCTCAGATTCGGCACAAAGTAAAAACCAGTAAAAAAGTCCTTGCAGCGCCCCTTTAATAGTGGGCGCTTGAACGAAGTGGGCGCTTCCGCGGTATTTTATGGTAGCTCCTCTCGGGCTATTAGTGGTATTGTTTGTATCAAGGTGCCAAACTAGCTTCGCACGCTGTGTGATCAGGATTAGTTAGTTGCACAGTACTTAAATGTAGACTCGCATTTGTGAAGATGGATCCTTAATGGCACAAAGTTCTGTTTTAATATTTCCACCGCTGTTTCTCGCAGCCACAACACCAGTACTTCGAGCCAGCTCTGCTTGACAAAGGTAGTTAGGAGACGGTGTTAATATCTGGACATATGAATATTGACTGTGTCCACATATTCATTCATACATTGTTGCTAGGCTTCTGTGTTTTCGGATAAATTCGAACAACACCTGCCGGTAAAATTTTGGTCAATTCAGATTTATCCGATGAACTAGAAACTTTGACGTACCAATGCCCCCTCCTCTCCCCCCTCCCCCCCAAAAAAGACGGTGCTTTGGTATTTTACAATTTGGTTAGCACATAGGGTCAGTGGTCCTGGGAAAATGCCACCACAATTATCTCGCATCTCGGACCATTGTCAGAAGGGGTCTTGCCGCTTATCTCATTGAGGTTCATTCAGGACAACGGGTCATTGTACTTTTGGGTCACGACAAAAGCCACTGTTTTGGTTTCCAATTTTGGCCATACTATTTGTGCTTTAGAGGAAGGAGAGGTTGTGTTTTTGTAAGAGTGAAAGCTATGAATCATAGAGATTGCATAAGATGGGAAGAGGGGTAGTTGAAACTTCTTCCACTACACCCTTGAATGGGCACTGACACATCAAAATCATTTTTTTTTTTTTTTTATTATCTGAAACGATTGTAAACGATGCCGGGACATTACTCTCAAAATTCAAAACTTGGAAATTCAGTATTTGTGAATTTAAAAAATTTTTTCCAAATGCCGAATTTGAAGTTCCCGCACAATCCGCGCCAGTCAAATTTTGCTGTCTCCTGCGACTCTATTTTCTTTCGGACCTCCGCCCCACGCTACTAAGCAAAGCGCCGTTGCCGCCGCGACCCGAAGCGAGGAGGAGGTGAGCAGGCGGGATAGAAGGGCGCCAGCGCGGGGAAAAAAACTGTTTCTTTCCCGACTCTCCGATCATCCTCTGCCTGAGCACCGCCAAGTTTTCCGAGGGAGGATACAAATCCAGGAAGAGACATCCCACCAAACTCTGATGCAATAAAACTTTGGTTGGGGATAGTTGGTTCATATCGATTAAAAGGTTAAAAGGCGCGAACAAACAGGACGAAAAAAGACACGTACGACACGGACAGGCGCCATAGCGCCTGTCCGTGTCGTACGTGTCTTTTTTCGTCCTGTTTGTTCGCGCCTTTTAACCTTTCAAACTCTGATGTTTGGTATTTTAAAAAGAGGGGCCGTAGTGTGTTCGCAATTGCGTTAAAAAACGTTTTACGATTTCCGTTATTAAATGTTATAGAAATGTCGCCTACAAAGCTTCTAAATTTCCCGATTTTTTACGTCACCGATTAAACGAAGCGAGGAGGTGAGCGGCAGGAGATATAAACGCCAAAAATAAAAAGGCGCGCGCAGGCGCGGGAAAATTCCTTTTCGCGGTGCGTTCTTTTTTTTTTTGCATGTCTATGACTACAACTTGCACCGTTTTAGACAAAAAGAAATATGACCTTTGGGGTGTCGGTGCCTCTTTAACCACTCCATTTCAAGTGGCCATGGAGTAGCTTGATGGAATAGGATGGGATAAATACTAGCTTCCCAACTACTACCTCCAGGGCCCGTTTGCTCGAAGCCGGTTAACTTTAACCGCGGTTAAAAGTTAACCGCCTTTCCCTATTAGGTACCTAAAAGTACCTAGCCAAGTTTGACGAGGGCTGGATAAACGATAGCTCCGTGTTTTATTATTGGGGTGGTAGCTGGTGTCACCTCCTGGCTGTAGCGAATATAAGTGGCTTCCGTAGAGAGGTTCCCTAAATGGGGGGACCCAAAAATGCGCGCTACCGTGTTTTTGCGACACAGCGCGGCATACATTTGAGCTCAAGAAACAATTTTTATTGCTCGTGGTACAGGTAATCGGTAAGGTCAAACTAAATTAACCCTTGTTTGGAAAATTTCTTAATATTTGGCTGTCTGAAGTGAAGACAAGCCTCGTTGAAATTTCCTTCCGAGTTCGAAAGTGGACGATGAAGTTCAGTCCTAGAAACGATGAGAAAGAAGTGAGCAGTGAAAGGCGAGCGTTACACCGGCAGTATGGTTGGCCAGCCTGTAAGAACTGTATATAACACCGTCATAAATTGAAAAACCTGTAATTCGGTTTCAGTGAAAATTTGAGTTATTAGTAAATTACCCTAACATCGACGAGAACACTGGAAGTGTAATTCAACGATCCGCGCGCGCTGGCCTTCCACTTATAGAATATTCGAAGTAAATGATCATAATAAATCTATGACGAACACGCGTGCACGGCAAAATTTGTTGTAGGCTTTTTGCTTTAGAATACTTACTACTGCAGATGCCAGCACGCGCAGCGCGTGTACCTGCACTCTACTCTGTTTCACCTCATGATGTACCGCAGGAAAGGCTAAAAGCGCGAGCTCCTTGCTCTAGGGCACATCTCGGCGGCACAAGCTCGCGTGCGTTGAGAGCAGCTGCTAATGCCATGAGCTCGCGCTTCTAGCCTTCTCCGCGGTACAACATAAGGTGAAATGGAGTATCGCAGCATGCACCTCGGTGCTTGGGAAATTTGGCAAAAGGTCTATGGGGACGCTGTCTGCTTTTGTGTGCTATCAGTACCCGGCCGATTGAGTCAAGGCAATCCACTTTTCAAAGACGTTGCCATGCCGACAACTATCGCGTTCATTTAGGCCTAGGAATCGCCAGAATCGAAAGACTATCTGAAAAATACGGTGAGGTGATTGCTCATGCTTTGCGTTTTAAGTGAGGTAGAACAAATCAAAAGCCTCCTGCACCATTCACTGTTGATAAACGCGCCCGATATTGTAGCTACAACGACGTATTAGTTCCAAAGCGAGCGGCGCTCACTCACCGGGGCACCGCCATGTTTCCCCGCCGTCCTTGCTCTGCCGGTCACGTGACCTAAAATTCCCTCTCGTAGGGAAATCCGGTTAACCGCGGTTAGTTCACCAGCTTCGAGCAAACGGGCCCAGAAGTTTATTGGTTATGAGACAGGGACGTTTATCGAAGCAACACTTATGTACAACCATTGTCATTCGACAAATTAGTACTGCCAATGGCAACACAAAGTCCAAGTTCGTTTGCTTCTTGCACAGAGGTTGCGATGATGTCAGAATGCCAAGCCCTTGTGGACTGATTGAAAAAAAATAGTGGGTAGACCTCAAGGCATCTAGCATTGAGGTCTACCCACTATCCTTCCAATGAGAGCCTTCCAGTCGGAGCCACCTGCACAACAAGCAGACGACTTGCTCTCTGAATACTAGTAACACCAGTGCTAAACCGAGCTGAAAACAAATTATTGATACAACCATATTTTATTTTCTTGTCAAGCATACGTCTACACCCATATAATATTTATGTATTTATTTTAATAGGAAACACAGCAAAATTAAACTGAACTTCGGTGATTTGGGAATTAAATAAAAATGAACTCTGATAATATCTGGGCACAAAATAAACTCTGAAAACATGGAACACCCAAATTAAAACGAGAAGCTGCGTACTTGCCTAGCACTATCCTGGCCAATACCAGTACTATCAGTGCTTATCAGTACTATCAGTGCCACCTGCTAAATGCCTGTCAAGCTGGATGCTAACTCGGGACAAGACGTGCAGTGGTTGCACAAGTCTTGCAACGGGCATTTCATGCAACGTGGAAACACCCGCATTGCTGATCCACATGACGGCTAGTGCCTGTTTCAGTTGCAACATTAGAACATCCAGGGCGAAACACCTTTTCAGATGGAGCAGTCTGCTAAGGTTCTAAGGAGCTGGAACATGTGGCTCACTCTTGTACTGATGCGTCAAATTTTTTTACCGTGCTCAAAGATTTACTGCGATCCCTTGCTTCTTGCAGGATTTGCAGACGCTGCAGTCGAGCCAGTGCACTTCTCTATTGCTCCTGCCTACGCAATGCCAAAGGTATGGTCAAGCCTACAAGCCTTTTTTTTTTTGTTTTTCTTTTTCCGATTGCCAACATTTTAGTTTGGGGTTTGTTTCGATAGGTTCTGAAGCAGACTGGCGTGAAGTTGGAGGACATTTCCATGTTTGAGATAAACGAGGCCTTCAGTTCCGTCGTTCTGTGCAACATGAAGCACCTGAAGCTAGACCAGTCCAAAGTCAATGTCCACGGTGGTGCTGTCAGCCTGGGGCACCCCATTGGGTGAGTGTCTTTTTTTACACCAGTGACTTCAAATACTGCACTGAATATGTGTTAATGTAACAAGTAGCTAGAAGTTGCTACTGAACAACATCCCTTCCTGCTGCATGAATTGTGCATGGTGCTGTTCATGCCCACATGAACAGCACGAGGCACAACTGCTGGAAGTCAGATGCAACAGTAACAAAAGAAGGATGTACAGCAGCAATTTGGAAAATGCTTAAAGTACTGCTATGTGCTTTTGATTGGTTAACTTTTTTAGATTAGTATTTGAGGTGACCAACAGATAGCTACCACTCATGTATTCTTTCTGCTGCATTTCCTAAGATGGACACTATGAGTGAAAGCTTATTAAAATTGCCCCTGAAATAACTCGGAGAAAACCTGATTGTTTTTGTTGTGTGGTTAATTAGCACTCCTCCTAGTTAAAACGGGCCCAATTGCTGTTCCCCACAGCACCCCATCTGTCAGTGAAACTCATTTGTTGTTTGTAGATTGCTAACAATGACATTTCTAATATAAATCTTCAAAAATTAGCTCGACATTTATCAGTTTATGAAGTAGAAAGTAAGTGCATTCTTAATCCCTCTCTCATTTACTTGGCTAGCTTTTTTCTTTCTTTTTTTTTTTTTTTTCTATTTTAGAGCACAGTGTTTAGGCGCTTGTTTCCGGCTTGAGTGGCGTCGGCGTGACCGCGCGGTGCATTATGGGAAATGTCCCGTAATGCAACGCACGGGGAGGAGGAGGGGGACGAGGGGGAGTTGAGGAGGAGAGGAGGGGAGGAGCTTGAAGGAGGAGCAGAACAGGAGGGAGGAGGGGTATAACTCTCCCCTCAGTAGCCTTCCCTCCATCTCCTCAAGAGCTATGCTCCAATTTGGCGTTACAGAGTGTAAATGGCTTTTTTTTTTTATCCTTTTTAACCACCAAGTTATTTTCGAAACAAAAATGTACAAACTTTCCCAAATTTTATTTCCACATATTCTTTCTTACGTCGTTCTGATATTGCAAATACATGATTGGTTTCTGATTGGTATTAACACAAAACTTTTAAAATAAAAAGTTGATTTTTATAGAAGGTTTCCCTCAGTGCATGTAAGAGTAATAGAATAACACGTGCTGAAATGCACAGTATTTATTTGAACATACGCACCGTAACAAAAGGTCAAGTGCCTAGACGTTTCTTCATACTAGCGCTTACAAATACATCTCAACTTGCGGTTTGCCAACGATTCCTTGCGAAATTATTAGCGCAAGGAACACTATCATCTTTTTGCAATCCACTGGTTTCCATGAAGAACCCTGCACTGTGAAATGCAAGACCGCGTAGCGGTTTGTCCCTGTCACAGTGAGGTCGACAAGGTCCCAATAAAAAACAAAAAACAATCTCGAACCAGCTGAGAGTGTCTTTTTCGTCAGTGGGTTTCCGCAGAATCGCAGGCACTGCACAAAATGGGACACCTTGGAGACACGGGTGGCGGGTTTTCAGTGTTTACGCGTTGCCACGCTCGAACACTACCCAGCGTGTCGTCTTCTTCATCACTGTAATCGTCGTCCAAGTCCGTTTCGTATTCAAAATCCATGTCCGACTTGCTTCCAGAGACAAATTCAATGTCTTCATTGTCGCTACTAGGGATTCCGCGAACTTTTTTCGAATCGAAGTTTCGATGATCGAATCAAGCGGTTCGAAAGGTTCGAAAGATTTCGATTTTTCGAATTGTCTATATCGTAAAATTCGACGGAGGTCGAATTTTCGAACTTGTTAAGCTAAGAAATTCGACGCTTTTCGAACCGTCGAACTTATTAGGCAAAAAAATTCGATCTTTTTCGAACTTTCGAACTTATTGCGCTGCAAGGTTCGATGCTTGTCGAACTTTCGAACTTGACTGACCAAAAAATTCGATTAATTTCGAACTTTCGAACTTACTTATCAAGAAAATTCGAAAAGTTTCGAACTTTCGAATTCTGAAAAGTCAGAAGTTCGACGAACTTCGAACTTTTAGGGTAAAAGTTCGACGTTCGTCGAACTTCGAAAGACCGGCGGACGGTTTCATTTGATTTCAAGTAGTGGGGTACATTCGTAATTTTTTTTTTCTCGAACTTTTACACGCGGTGCTGCGTTTCTTACGAAAGACAATTGCATTTATTTCAATGTTCTGGCATGCTTAGGTTTAAAGAAATAAATCCCCGAAGGGGCGAGGACAGACGACGGGTTTTTGACGATTATCGTTTGTGCCAGATTTGAAGCACGCTGCAGCCGGAGCTATTTATGGTAGATATGTTATACTTTTTTTAAGAATGATCTATGTATAGCCTAGGTAAGTGCCGTCTTAAGATGTGATTATTGTTATTCAACCTGAGTTTCGAAGAAATGTCCAAACATGTATCGGCATGCAATTATGACCTAAACTTGATATTTATTTTCGTCTAAGTTGTTTGAGGTATCGCATTTAAATTATCACCACAGACAGTACATATCATTGCCATCTGCAGAATACAAAATAATATATTTATTGTTTTTTCACGTTAAGGAATAAATTAACTCATTGCAGAAGATTTCTAGTAGTGTTCAAGTTCAGCACGTCATTAAAAGAAAAGTTTTTTTGTTTTTTTTCGCTTCACGTTCCTGGGACGTGTTTCTTTTAGCCTGTACACATTTTAATAAAAGAAACTTGTTTCGAAGTTCTGAACCTCTGAATATGCAAGAATAGAACACTTCCGACGAATTCTTGATAGTTTTTTTTTTCTCCTGCTTTTTATTCCCGCATTTATTCTTTTTTTTTTTTCTTTTGTTACTATCAGCACAGGTGTTTAGGTCGAAAAGACATAGCTTTGAACTTCCGAACCACTAAGCATGTGACGAGCAGTGCCTTCTGACAACGAGTTTCTAACAGTGACCATCTATGCAACCTTTTATGCAGTGAAGAGCGACAGTAGCTATACATATGCATAAATAATTTCAGATTAAAATAAGCTCGACCACGCCCTCTTTCGCCGTATTGTTTTCTTTAACAGTCTGAAATACCTGCAAGGGAAAAAAAAAGGCTGAAGCCCCCGCCCCCCCCCCCCCCCCCCCCCCCCGCTACCCTCTTTCCCCCCGTTTTTCCTCTTCCGACGCCACTTGTATGGTAGAACGCTCCTCGACCTCGAGTTGTGTCGGCTTTTGTGCTTTTTGCGAGGCGATTCCTCCGTCCCAGAAAATAAACCTCCAGGACAATTATAAACTTCACCGGATCGGATTACTACCAGCGTGCAAGGGGTGGCGAGGTAGTTTGCCAGGTCGCTTCAAGGTTTTTCTGAGCCTCAACCTCCTGCTCGTCCCTGGCCGTTTCGAACTGGATGAGTCTCGTAAAACAGTGTGTTCGTGCAATCACTACTGCGTGATGCAGGTTAAAGACCCCCCCCCCCCGGGGCTGGCGGTCACAATTCTGCACTGGCAAATATTCTAGCACGTCCGGGACACTGGTGTCTCATTTAATTGCCTGACCAACTTCGCAGAATCTAGATATCACACCCTAACTTTTCTAAACTTGATTTTGTGAAAACCAGTGAGTCGTGAAAACGTTATTTAAAAACTGAAACTGTAGAAAAACTTGAATATCGGACTTCAAACTTTGAAAACTTGGATTAAAAAAAAATTCAAAATCTTCGAAGGTTTTTTTTTTGTTTTTTTTTTTTTTGATTTAGCGTTAAAAGAGAATCGAAACTTTCGAACTTTATGCCAAAAGAAATTCGAAATCTTCAAATTGTTCGAACTTTATGTCTATAAAAATTCGAAGCGTTCGAAGTTTTTGAATTTTTTTTTTACAAAGAATTTTGAAATCTTCGAATTTATCGAACCTGAAGTAAAAAAATATTCGAAATATTCGAATTCGAAATTTTAGAAACCGTGAAAGCTTCGAAATTTTCGAATTCGAAACTCCGCTGTGGACAAAAGTTGCGAATTTTTCGAAATCGAACCTCGGTCGGTACGAAAATATCGAAATTTTTCTAAATCGAACCTCAGTTCGCTTCGCAAATATCGAAACCTTTCGAAATCGAACCTAGGGTGGTTCGCGACATCCCTAGTCGCTACTGTTCGAACTGCCGTAAGAGAGAGCCCGTTTCCTAGGGCCGTCACCGGCATCACTCAAGTGTGCTGCCATCTCTGATCACTGTTACAAGGCTAGATACGCGATGGATGGATGGGTGGCTGGATGGATGGATGAACCTGTCTCGTGTTTAGCAGTGAAAACAAACCCTTATTTTGGCTGGACGAGTGACTCGTCATCGGCGATATTGGTACAACCTTCCATGACGAGTACAGCTCGGGCCGGGTGGTTAAAGGGTTAACGTTTTCACACAAGGAAGTTTTGTGGGCAAGAAGAGTTGTTTGTACCTGTAGCACAAGTCAGATATTTTATATTTGTTGAGCTTTAATAACTTGAAATTAGCTGCCATTGATATTAGCAACACTGACTTGAACCTGTTCAGATATTCTGATGAATTTAGAATCATGTTGAGCATGCCATTCATGAGCCACTAAGCTGGCACGCAATAGAAGTGTGTGATATTGTAGCAACCAGCGGGTGAAACTCTGGCTTTTCCCCTCTCCCCACTCAGAATGTCTGGAGCGAGGATCGTGGGCCGCATGGCAGTGCAGCTCCAGCCCGGACAGCTGGGCCTCGCCGGCATCTGCAATGGCGGTGGTGGCGCCTCTGCCTTGCTGCTCGAGAAGCTGTAAGTCTGGTACGACCAGGCTGAAAGGGCTCGGCTTGCTCGACTCGCTCCTGTATACCGAGGCACCTTTGGAGGGTAGGATTACCCGGGATGGGGGCCATTGCAACTGCTGCTTGCGACAACTGTAAATGACTAGTAATATAATTGTGGGTGTGAGTGTCTGAGAATAAAGCCTGATACCTTTCTATGTTGGTTGTTTTCGAATTCCTGGGGGGTTCCGCCGACTGGAGTGTAGACGGCACATGCCCAGATAAGTACTGTACTCCCTCCACCCCTCTGCAGCGTTAGCGGAGGCATAGTAGGTGTGGACTGCCTTGTTTGCACAGGCACTTGCGTAAGCGAAGCGTTTTTGTAAGGTTGTGTGCTTGTGCCATCTATGTTTTTCAAAATTTTTCGAGGTGGTCTATACTGGCTTGCGTATGATGTAGTGTAAGGCTGGCTGTTGCCGCTATTCACACACTAGGTTTGGTTCAAACATTCACTTCAAGTACAAGAGCTCTAGCCTTGTAAGCAGCTTCCACTGCATGAACTACTTTCTATGTTTGCATGGTTGTACAATTGATAGAATAATCTCCCAAATTAAATTTAAATTAATTCATCAACCCAATTTTTTTTTTTTTTTTTTTTTTTTGAGGGGGGGGGGTTGTGTTATATTACTCTTCTAAAGCTTTTGAGACAAAAAATTATTGATGCTGGGGTTGTCAATAGTCCTTTAAAGAAGCTCGCACAATTGAATTTAGGAAAAAGCTTTAATTCATATTCTGCAGTCTTCATAATGTATTTTTTTTTGTTGTTTTAGTAGAAAACTTCAACCCAAGCTTATTTTGCTAGTAGGGAGAAAATGCTCAATTTGGTACCTCAGCTGCAATAAAATATAAAATTGAAATTTCAAATAGACTTGCATGCTGGTTATAGCATCTCAGTATCTGCAACAGGGATATTCAACCCAAATGTAAGTGGAATTTCTGAAACTCATTTTTTCTTTAACAAATGTTAAAAGCTCTGTGTTTAATTTGGGTTCCAAGTACTGAATCGGAAGATTAGCCACTTTGATTAATGGTCTGTTGGGTTTACATCAAAATACTCTGCCAGTAAGCAAATTCAGTTCGGTCAAATGAACAGGATGTAGATCTGCAACTCATTGGAGGAATGCAGCTAAGTATAGCTTGAAGCTGACGCCGCTTGATATATGCCTCTGCCAGGCCAACTAGCATTAGACGTAGCTGTCGGAGCCATTGCTTGTAGCGTTCAGTGCAATGCTGTACAGAGGGAAGATGGAGCAGTGCTAAGACATGCCACACAGACTTGCCCATATTATGATGCCAGCTGCTTCATTGTCTTGCAAGTTCTAGCTAAGATTGTCCCAATTTCTGCACAGGAACCCTGATGGCAGGCAGCTTGACCTACCCACCTTAACATTGTACACAAAGCACCCCTGTCCCCTTTGCGACGTCGCGAAAGAACAGCTGCGTGAGCTCCTACCTAAAGTTCATTTTGTTGAAGTGGACATCGAGGGGCCTGGAAACGAGGCTTGGAGGCAGTGCTACCGCTATGACATTCCAGTCTTTCATTTGAATGGAGAGTTCCTGATGAAGCACAAGGCCGACCCACACCTCTTGGCTGAGAAACTAGCTCTAATGGAATCCAACAAAAATTGAAAACTTTCTGAAATGTGCAATAAATGTCCATGTTTATGCCTGTGAATGGAACTCTGGCTTGTCTGTCGTACTGTAACCACCTATTCTGTAATAAATATCTTCAAACTTAGTCCTTTAGTGTAAATATTTCGTAAAAGTTGCGTTACAGCAAGTCACGCATGTAGATTATATCCTACACGAGGTGTTTTGTATTAATTTTTTTGAAGCTTAACAGGTTACAAAATGAGAACAATTCATGAATGCTATTCCTACGCGCTTTGTGCAGGTGAGTTATACGACCAGGGGGATAGTATAGGGGGCTAATCTGAACAGCCGGTCGACTAATTAAATTTAAAAAAGATTAATTAGTGAAAATAGAGATGCTTTCAATTAGAAATATGCTGAGCGTCATTGAAAACCACTAAATCAGTAATTTTTTTAGAAAACGCGGTGCCCGGTAGTGCGCTAAAGTTCTCTCGCGCAGTAGGAGCAAGACTGAGCGATAAAGCGCCCGCGCGATTTTTCCGTCTCGGAGCTCCTGCTTGTACAGTACCTTTAGCGCACTACTGCGCTTCCCACGAGCTCAAAGTATTAAAAAAAATATGTAATGGTTTTCGATGACGCTCAGCAAGTTTCTAATTGGAACCATGTGTCTATTTTATCTAATTAAAAAGTTTACAAGCTTTACTTAATTAGCCGACTAATCGCACGATGAGTCGGCTAATTAAGACATTTTTCACGAGGGCACTGCCATCTTGAAATATCGTCACTTCCTGTATGGGCGAAAAAATTGTTTTGCCCTCGCCACGCCAATATAATACATTTAGGATATAAGCGTAACCGTCACCCATTATCTACTAGGTGGCTCGGGACGAGTGTAAAAGAAAAAGGTTTTACCGATAACTCACCTGCACAAACCGCATAAGCAGCTTTCACGGCTTTTTTGTAAAACGAATCTGTTAAGATTAAAAAAAATATATAAAAGAAACACCGTGTAGTGCTGCTGTGAAGAAAATATTGGGGGTGACTCCATCCCCTGAACTCTCAATGCCTCCCGTTCAGCTAGCTAGCGCGAGAAAGATTGTCCTGAGTAGCGGGGACCGGGACGTCCCACAAGTGCCCAAGAAGTCGTCAAATTCCATGTCCCAGACTGCGAGGCAGAGGCCCGGTGTGCCCATGTCCTGGCGCATGCGGTCGAGCTTTACACGCAGCGACGTGGTGCCTTCGTAGCTGACCCAGTTCCGGAAGCGCACGGCGTAGTTGCACAGTCCAACCTCATCCAGGCTGCCCTTGAGCAGGTACTTGCAGATCAGAGGGTACTCGACCAGGCCCCGGGTGTGAGAACCGCCCACGGGTGGACCCCCTCGGACAGCCGGACTGCCGACCCTGAAGGCGCTAGAAGTCTTGAGCGTCCAGAAGAGGCCCTTTAGCGACACGCTGAAGCAGAGCCGCTCCCTGTGTTCCCGGGGAACCTCGTGCTTGAGCGTGCGCACAACCTCGCGTACCGTGGGACCCGTGTAGTTTGGCGCAGCCTCGTAGGGGCTGGGGCACTGGGTGCGCCGCGCGCTAGTGTTGTGGAAACCGTGCGTGACTGCCAAAAGGTAGTTCGCGTGGTCCGCGAGGGCCGGGAGGTGGTATCCCCGGTGCCTTTGCTCCCCGTTGTGGGGCACGGCGATGGTTAGGAGGGAGCGGACGCCAAATCTCTCCCTGAGTGCTTGGACCAGTCTCAGAAAGTTCTGCTTGTCGTTCCTCCTGCCGCACTCTCCTCCCGGCTGCCGCCAGTCGATGTGGAGGCCATCGAGGCCCTTTCCGACCAGCCACCAATAAGCCTTGTCGGCGAAGGTGCGGGTGCGGTTCACGTCGGACGTGAAGCTCGAGAACTGAAACGTGTCTCGGGCATCCGGTCCTCCGCCGAGGGCGAGAAGAACCATGAGATGCGGGTAAGTGTTCTTCAATTCCGCGGCCGATCTGTAGCCCTCGTAGGTCTCGTCGAACGTGGGGTCCTTGCTGTAGATGGTACCGTCTGCCGTGACGCCCGCCTTATAGTAAAGCAGGTGAGTGCAATACGCCCCGGGGACGTCGGTGACGCGATATTGCAGTTTCGGGAAGCGCTCGAAGACGTCGTTCTGGTAAACGCAGAAGATGGCATTCCTGCTCTTTACCTTGGTTTTGTAAGGGACGAAGTCGTCGTCCACGAAGGAAAGTTCGGCGTAATTAGGACCGTTGCTTGACAAGGGCTGGTAATCGACGCAGGCGGGGTTTGCGTAATTGACCGGATCGTCTCTTCCGATGTTGGGTGGCGCCGGAAAGCGTGCAGCCAGCGTGCCGGCCGTGTAGTACAGTATGCACACAGGAAACAGGAGGAGTAACGCAGACCCAGCGATGACGCCAGTGAAAATATTTCCGCTGTGCCGTCGAAGAAAGTCTGGGTACCATTTTTTGCGCCCGGGACTTTGTCGTCCCTTTGAACTGTGGTCGCCTTCTGGTACATTCGTGCTGGCATCGCTCGTTTGCGATATTTCTTCGTTGGTTGTTTCGTCTTTGTTTTTCCGATGGTACGCGGTGCTGACCCTCGTGGTACTGAGGCTCTGTCTTGTTTCCGTAGTCGTGGTCTGGCTTTCAGCTTCGTCCAAGGAACTCTGGTCCAAGGTGGTCAGCGCGGTGCTGGCCTCCTGTGCCTCGTAGAAGCGGGTTCTACCGGTCTTCCGACTCAGCTGTTGGTCAAGGCGGAGCTCATGAAGGGCGGGCATCTCGCCGCTTCCGTGTGTCGAAAAGAAGGGCAGGGGTCGTCTCGAAATCGAACGGCTTTTCCACGCACGATTCCGCGTGCCGTGGCTGTTCGAAATTTACGCCCCCTTGCGGTCGGTCGGAGAATATTGCAGTGTCGTGCAGAAAAAGCTTCAACAAGCTCGCAAGTCTATAACTAATATAATAGTCACTTCCATTTTGATGTTTTTTTGCGCACGTTATTTGCAGTATTTTCATATCGACTGTAAGAGGGCGTAATTTTTGAAGGGTTCTATTCTGTTGAAATGCTCGAGAATCGGTGGTTTTCCGAATTCTCAGGAAGCTAAAACAGCGAGCTCCGGGTTTTCAGCGTTCCTGCTGATCTCGCGCGCTCGTCCACTGCAAGCATCATTAGGGAGTTTTAAAATAGGGTTCACTCTACCCAAGCAATCCACAGAGCCCCTAAGCGTGGCAAGATGAGGGTACGGGCTTAGGGGGCTGCATCACATGGCCCTTAGGCTGCTACGGGGCTTCGTGCTTACCCCTAAAAATTAGAAGAAGAAAAAAAGCGAGTTGGTTATTGTTTAACAGCTCAGATTTAAATGAAGAACAAAACTCAAAGCAGCCCCTGGGCCCTGATTTTCTGGTGCTGTTCCTCCTAAAGCCCCTTGATAAAGGCGTTTTTTTTTTTTTTTTTTTTTTTTTTTATAAGTGGCGCCGATTATTGCCGTGGAAACACTCCAGACACGTGCCACGAGCGGGTGCTCCGCCGCCATTCGCTTCCAAGGGCCGCTCATTTCAGTGCTCCGTCGCCATTTGCTTCCAAGGGTCGCTCGAGACACGGGCCTCGTGCATTGGCGCATTTGACCAATTTGACACTACTTGCAAGACCATGGCTATGTTCCAAATCTTAACCGAGTAACCTGTCTCCTACGTCAGCGGATAATACCCCGTGACATCACGAGTAAACGATCCTCGACTCGATTTTGGAACGGCCGGGATAATCCGGCCCTTGGGCAAAGGCTAAGAGAAAACATCGCAGCGATGACGGAAAATAGCAGACGATCTCTTTTGATCACGGAGGAAGCACTAGAAGAGACGATATTTTTAAAAGATTTCTTTGACAGTAACGGCGTGGTCTTTCTGAGGTGGCTCCACCACCTCCTTTTGCTAACCTTCCTTTTGAACTGTATACCAAATCACCAGGCTCGATCTAAAATGGACCGTAAAAATCGACGCCTGCACGGAGCCATCTAAATTTTTGGTCAAATGTGTATTTCACTGCAGGTCGCTTTTTTCTTGTAAAATTACAAAGCGTAGCTCCCTTTCTGTGAAACGTGGTGCAAAAAAAGCTTGCCAGGATCAACGGTGGACGGCGACGCAGACGACCGAGTCGACTTGGGGGGTGCGTTTGGCGCGCGAGGAAGACGACGAAGTGTTTTGTATGAGGAACGCCAAATCTTCCGCTCCCAGTAATTTCGATAATTCTTTTGCCTTGTAGTCTCCAGATACCTGTAAATATTTGCGAACCAGGTATATATATATATCAGTGTCCCAAACGCCGTATAGAAGCAGACGCACCTCGGAGGAATTGCAGCCTTCCATCGCTGCTCCCCATAGATGTGACCCGGCATGACATCGGCCCAAGGAAACGTCACCGACGTCGAAAATATGGCGCTTAGCATAACACCTGCACAGCATGCAACAGATGGAGCGCCCTCAATGACACCGATGGAAGGACAACCTGGTTCTTCTGATCTATCGAGGACATCGTCCTCAACTGAAATTGACGACATGGACCACGAAAACGACGCTGGAGGCATATGGCACGAAGTTCGAACCAGAAAAAGAACGCGACTCACAAACAGCCTGTCTGCTTTGAGCTCGGACACGATTATACGGCCAAAGCCTGACAAAGAGGGGCTCACGGTAATATTCGCTCCTGGGAAAGCCGAAAAGGTGCTCACAGATCTCAGTAGCCTGAAGGTATCAAATGCACTAGATAAAGAATTCCCCAAATGCGTTCGCGAGGTTCGGTTTAACCATCGACTAAACCTCATTGCAGTTGATGCGCTGAATGGACAAGCTGCCAAGAAGTTACAGAGCATGACAACACTCTGCAGCATTCCTGTACTTTCCTATTCTCCCTTGGCTGGAGCAACTGTTGTCGGACTGATTCATGGCGTCGACAAGGAACTTTCTATTGGAGATATCACTTCAAATTTGAGGGCGGATGCAGAGATTGGCAGCGTACGACGGCTCGGAAACACCAGCTCTGTAAAAGTAACGTTCTGTGGAAACCGACTCCCATCCTAGGTTCTGCTAGGGCATGTGCGCCACCCAGTGTCTCCGTTCAAGGCCCGACCAATTCAATGCTTTAATTGCTTTGGTTTTGGTCACAAACAGGTGGCTTGCAAACGCTCGAAAACATGTAGACACTGCTCACAACATCACGACCAAACGGACAGCACATGCCTGTCATTGTCGGCGAAATGTGTGAACTGTGGGCAAAACCACGAGGCCACAGCACGGTCCTGTCCAAAAGGAAGGGAGGTTGAAACGATTCAAACCTACTCGAAGGCAAACTCGGTGGACTTCCACGCTGCCAAAACAGCCTTAGAACACGAGGAACTTTTTCCGGCGCTTGAGTTCACTCCTGCTGACAGCAGTGTCACGAAAGAGCTGGCTGGTGCTTCTGGCTTCAAGGACATTGCAGGGAACAAGAACGAACACTCGAAAAAGCCGACAGCTTTGGCAACACCATATGCGTCGGTTCTCAAGGCAACTAAGCCCAAGGCACCAAAATCTCAAGGAGTTCGACACGGATCAACATCACAGGGTATACAAATGCCTGCTGTGTCGGAAGCACCACCCCCTGAGACACCTCAGTCTGATCTGCAGCTATCAACTGTGCGCCAGCGCCGTCAAGTAAGGGAGGCGGATGCGAAGCCGTCAAGTTCCGGGGACTCTGCAGGATGGATTCCTTTAGTCAAGGCAGCAGTCAATATCGCTCTCATCCTACTTAGAAGCCTCAAAACATCCTGGGCAACGATACTAACTACCATGATACAAGCTCTGTTTCCCCTTTTTGAAGGATGTTAGTGTCATCGTCCCCTCATGCACAAGACTCGATCAGAGCGACCCCGGCAGTGTCTGTGCGTGCTGCACGTCATGGACGAAGAAATACCCACTTAACCTGTCCATCCATCCTCCAATGGAACGCACGTGGCCTTCGAAAGCGTCTTCCCGACCTACAAGAGCACCTGATTCATTCTCCTGTTGACGTCCTGGCCATCCAACAACCGATGACGCGACCGGGCGACTTCAGGTTTTTCCCTTACGTCATTCACCACAGTACGCCAGCGCGAAAGGGAGGTCGTTCTCGAGGAGCGCTCCTTGTGTCCGCAGGACTAGCACACAACCCGGTTGATCTTTCATCGTTCACCACAGAGAAAGCAGAATTTGCAGCTGCCACGATTGAGGTCCAAGGCGAGCTCTTCACTATAATTTCTGCATATGTTGCTCCTGGGCGTGCTAACTGCTGGGACGCGGGAGATTTAAATAAGCGCTTAAATGCCCTGGCCATTCGATGCACTGCGGCGATTTTAACGCACATAACTCTGCCTGGGGTGACAGGCGAACTACTGCAAGAGGCAGATCGCTCGAGTGTGTCACGTCTTCGCTTCACCTGTGTTCTTGATCTATCCTCTGCCCCACCGGATGTAGCTGCAAACTGGACTCCACAACCCGACTCATGGGGCAGTGACCATATTCCTATCAACATTGTATCTCCCAACGCTAGTAAACCGAAGTACAGACGATGCAGGGTCACAAACTGGGACATGTACCGACGGCAGCTTGACAGAGCCCTAGCAGCAGGTCCTCCGAAGGACCTAATCATAGCAATCGCCAATGCTCTTAGCCTCTCGACAAGGACGGTAAAGGTGCCACTCTGGAGGCCAGCGCCAGACCTGGTATACTTGAACCTCCGCGCCGCTCGCCGGAGAGCTCAACGAAAGGCACGAAGAACAAAAGATCCAAAAGATTGGAATACTCACCACAAGATTGATGCCGAATTTCGTCGACATACAATTCGTCTTCAGCGAAAGCAATGGGGACAACTCTGCGCCTCCTTCGGATCGGCAGGCGGCCTTTCTAAAGCATGGAAAATAGCAAAGGCGTTGTCTTCCGCAAAGCAGATTCAACACCCCATATCCGGACTCGCCGTTGCACTTCAAAAGCCTCTGCAGGAAACGGTGGAACTATTGGCGGATGAATTTTCAAAAGCTATTCCGCTACCCCCAGGATACCAAGAGCCACAAACTCGCCCGTCTGATGCCGGCGGCCCCATGCAGCTAGATAACAACTTCACCAGAGGCGAACTAGAATACGCGCTACGGAAGTGCACGAAGCGCAGCGCTCCTGGACCTGATGGAGTGACATATCAGGCACTGCGAAACTTAGATAAGAGTCACTATCCCGCCCTCCTGGAGGCAAAAAACAAGGTGTGGCGCACTGCAGAACTCCCCGCTGTCTGGAAAGTCCCCCATGTTATTCCGATCCCGAAGCCTGGTAAACCTCACGCGTTGCTGTCATCGTACAGGCCTATCTCCTTGACAAGTTGCGTCAGTAAACTCCTTGAGCGCCTCGTTCTTCGCCGTCTCACGTGGCAACTTGGCACCAACAAGACACTTCCTGACCAACTGTCTGGTTTCAGGACACATCGCTCTACGGTCGACGCCATAGGAGAAGTAGCAACATCTTTCGAAGACGCGCGGGCTGCTGGGAAAACGATGTGCTGTGCCTTCTTGGACATCCACAAGGCTTTCGACGCTCTACCTCATGCCACCACCCTCCACCAGCTCACTCTCTTCGGCATCGCAGGTAGAGCTTACGCTTACATCCGTGCATTTCTTCAAAACAGGACCCTTATTGTAAACGTCCGGGGAACAACAAGTGCCCCAAGATATGTGACCCAAGGAGTACCGCAGGGAAGCGTGATAAGTCCTTTTCTTTTCAATTTGGCAATGGCGTCACTACCTGCTGTGCTT